TCTAAACCCCTCTACCTCGTTGGTGCTCCATCATCACTGAACCGATCCTAAAAAAATTACGCTTAGTGACTGGCACTTTTGATGCTGCTTGATTGTTCCATTCGCTCGTAGTGTCGCCTGCATCCGGACCTAAGTTGAAAGGATGTATAACAATGCCATTGATATGTTTTGAGGTATTTATTTGTTTTTATCGAATAGAAATATGAGAATATATTATCTTTTTATTGCGTTATTCGCAGCGTCGGTATCCGCCTCTTAAAAATCAGCCGGTTAAAGGCTGACGACCAGTTCGCGTTTTCCACTTTTGCTCCGCTTACTCCTCTCCACCCTTCTACCCTGTCCACCACTGCCGGTTTGTCCTTCCCCATGGTGAGGAAAATCTTCTGCCTTGCAGAATCTCGAGTCTGGTCGTCGGCCTTTAAGGACGTATCAAAAACAGCTTACTAACACAGGTGGGCCTAAAGCTGTGGTGATAGTTTCTTTAGTTACATTTTGCTTATATAAAAACAAGGAGTTCATCTTAAAGAAAGTTTGTGCAGCACACTTTCAAGCAGTACTTTGCCACGTACTTTCCTATGCGTAGAACGCGAACCCATTCCCCGACATCTATCACTTGACACACAGTTGGGCGAGTAGTCTTCTCCTACTTTTAGGAAAGCGCAGAACATTTTCCTTGATCGCAAGCGAGAGATTTGCACTGGGAGTGGGAGATCGTTCCGTCACATTGAGTACCTAATGAGCTCGCACCCGCAAAGCTCGTAACCCGCCAGTAAAATTTTGGTCAATTCAAATTTATTCGATAAACTCCAAATTCCGATGCCCCTCCCCCTCCCCACCGCCGCCAACCTCCCCCCCCCCCCCCCCTCCCCCAGAAAAAAAAGAGAAAAGATCCCGGTAATTTACACTTAAGCTCGATCATTGCAAGGGTCAATGATCCTGGAAAAATCGGAAAAATGTCACCTAGTTACCTTCATATCTCGAGCCATTGTCCAAAGGGGTCTTACCGCTTATCTCGTCAAGGTTCATTCAGAGCAACAGGTCACTGCACATTCGGTTCCCTACAAAAGCCCTTGTTTTGGTTTTCAGTTTGGACCAAACTATTCGTGCTTCAGAGAGAGTAGAGGTCGCGTGTTTGTAGCATTGAAAGCCATGGACCATAGAGATAGCATAAAATGGGGAAGAGGGGCAGCTGAAACTTCTCTGTTACATCCACTACCATTTCACTTCGTGTGTCCGCGGGGTAGGTTGATGGAATAGGATGGGATGAATACGAGCTTCCCAGCGACTACCTCCATGAGTTTATGGATTTTAAGGTAGCAACGTTTATCCAAGCAACACATGTGCTACTTTTGTCGCGTAACAAAATAGCATTGCTTATGACAACGGCACCAACGCCATTTCTCGCTGAAGAAATATTAATTGATACAAGAGCGTTTTATTTCTTCTTATCTTGCATACGTTTACAAAAAATAATATTTTTTTATTTATTCATTTTTAATAAGAAACACTGCACAATTAAACTTAGAATTTCAGAGAATCGGGAATCTAATCAAACAACATTGAGAAATTAACCTTGGAAATTCGTAGAATTGGGAATCAAACAAACATAAACTTGTATAAACTCTGAATTTCCGTGAAAAAAGAAGCACCTAGAAACACCCTCTGATTCTTACGACGAAAAATTAACTCCGAAAGCACAGAATCCTAGTTGTGAGACGCGCCGTGCCGGTTACGTCTTTCAACGCTGTTCCAGAGCAGAACGTAATAGACTCTTCTTAAAGCCTTACTAAAAGACATTGGTCATCGCCATTTATGGGGGCACGAAGCCCGTGATTAGATACGAGTTCTCGCCGAACACTGATGCCGCGCTCGTCTTCAGTACGAGCTGAGCCGAATTCACGCCGAACGCTTTCGCGACCCTCGTGTCCAATAGGTGCCCAGAGCCCGTGCCCAGACAATGGCAGATTCGGATATTTGGCGATGCTGCTACAAGGACACAAAGTAACACGCACTTTTGAGAACAAAAAAAAGGTTACAAAATGTGTGGTCAAATAGCCAGATAATTATTTGGTAAAAAACGCTTTAAATTTATTTCAAAAGTGTTTACGTCAAGTGGCAATAATTATGTTTTCTCGAGTGAGTGGACAATGTTTTGTGGTAAACACAATTGTTGTGCACCCGCCCGTGTTGTTAAAAAGGAATTGCAAGCGTCCTGGTATGTCATTTACTGTCCCGTCAAAAAAAAACATTGGTGATTTTTTTTTTTTTTTATGTTTCGACATATTTCTGGGTGGAGTTCTAGGAAGATAGCCTTGAACACCTCGCCACCACAGAAGCTCAAGGGCAAGAGATTTCACACGTGAAGAAGTGAAGCTTTCCGGGCGCACTCCTGCGAAGACAGTTTAGTTCTCAGCTTTATTTAGTTACTCACGGCAGATGCCGTGCCACTAGACGATTTTCACATGTACTGTACAACATTAGAAAATAATCTTTAATTTTTTTTTGCAAATAAGCAAAAATAACAGCATTTTCTCAATGAAGAGCGTCTTTAAGGTAACCGTGCAGATACCAACGCATATAACAAAAATTTTAGATAATAAAAAAAAAAACAAAAAAAAAACGCGACATTTAACCAACTTTGCCAAAAACTGGATGTTTCTGAAAACTGGACATTCTGACCAAGGTTCTCGGGCCCACTGGGTTACAGTAAATATGATCTATTGTATATTTACTATTGTAATACACAACTTAAAATACGCCAGGCGTAGATAATTTCCTTAAAGATTCTTCCTTTCTTATTCGTTTTTTTTTTTTTTTTTTTTTTTTCGTTGTGATTGACTAACTTCAAAATCTCGCTGGCTGCAAATCGATAATGAGCCTACAGGGACCGTGATGTCTTGCGTTTCTTAGACGGTTAATGAGTACAGGTGGAAAAAGTTATTTTTTATTTCTTCAATTTAGCAGGCTGGAGTCAGCTCATGGGTGTGGATAAACCCCTATAATTTGTTTTGGTCAACCCAAGAAAACTTTAGAAATATTCAACAATCAATCGCACACAGATGCCTCTTTTCGACATTAAACAAATGAATAAAATTTATATTTCGTGGTAATCGATATATTCGTGTGTAATCAACAATCCACACCCTATTTAACTTTATCTTCTTACCTGTCATGAATATTTATTTTGCTATAGGCTAAAACGAGACAGATAGAGAGGTAAACGGAAGTATACACCATATCTACGGAATAAACAACGTTCGTTGTTGGCGCATTTGATGCAAAGAACGCCACAGTACGTTCAGTCGTCCCGTTAGTCAAGTCACGTGACCTCGCGAATTCTCGTTTTAGATGGGCATCGCGAACGCCAGGCATTGGCTCGAGGCCACCGTCGCGGAGGTCACTCCTAAGCCGCCGAGGTTTGTGCGTAGACTGCCGGTAACAACTTCCCGGCTTCTCTCGCTGGCACGACGCGAGTCGCACACACCGTCGTTGTTGCCGTTTGCTCATCACGGCCGCATTTTATTATTTCCGTGAAGAGAGCTTGCCAAAGAAGTGTTCCCGTTTGTTACTGTTTCTTTTTTTTTATCTTATTTGTTTTAAGGAATAGCAGTGCGGTAGAACGTTACTGTTCAATGTAGATTCAGGTTTGGTGAGAAAACATCTTCATATTCCTGCGGTCCTCAATCGACTCGGAGACAAACAAGACCACGACGAGCGTCCGAAGAAACTACGAAAGCAAAGGTAAGTGTTCAAAACCAATTTGAAAAGGGTTGCCTCTTAACGAACGAAGGGTGGACCAGGTAAAAAACAAAAATCAGTCTTTGATTCCTCAACTTGACAAGACTAGCAGCGAAGTCATACATAAAGAAAAACGCCCCCATACACTAGGCGAAGTTAATCTGGGCAGTAATTGCTAAATTGTGTGTTTTTGAATGAGGATTAGTCCCCCCCCCCCCCCCCAGGATGTGCAAATATATATATATATATATTTTATTCAACGCCTAGAGCCTCTTTTATTTACTCACAAAATATGTTTTATTAAGTGCGGCTATAGAGCTCCTTACTATATAAATAAACTATGACGTGAAAAAACAAAAACATGTTATACTTTATTTTTTGCGCAACTTTCCCATCAAACCACTGAGCTGCTCGCGCTTTTGAGGACTGTCTCCCTCATTTAAAGGTGTATTTTTATTATTGGTCACTATTGTCACTGAAACTTTGAGAATCACAAAGTGTGGTTTATATTCACAAGTCTCGCATCGTGATTGATGTTCGGCTTTCTTATTGCCGAATGCCGGAAGCTGACTTTGAAACAATAAACCATGACAGGGACGCGCCGCGCCACTTTGTTTCTTGGGGTATCAGGAACTTTAGAAGAATCGCCCATAGTTCTTATATTGATATAAAAAGGTAAACGTTGACGGTAACGATTCGGTCTATGGCGCCCTAAGATTCCGCGAAATGCTCATTGTATTATAGATTCACTCAGTGATTAACGGCAATAAGGTGCTAAGTAGCCGATCTACAAATTATGCGAGGCTCCAAAATTACAAAATAAACGTAACAAAAGGGCTAAAAAAAAACTTACTTAACAGCACGCGTGTGCCTCTATGACTAAATACACGTAATCGTAATTAAGCTTTCTACAAACGCATTTTCCGACTATTTACAATTATCACTGATCAAACTACCGTAGAAGTATTATCCGACAACATTTCCTACTAAAAAATGCACATTATAACTTAATTTACAACATACACCGGTTTCTCTACGTCAGAGATCACACCCTTTTCAAAAAAGAGCATTTTGTGGAAATGTTATTTATTTTATTCAACATTTTAGCGCATGTAGTGGACCATGCCCAGAGTCGTTCTTTTTAACACGTATCTAAGCTGTCGTGCAGCACTCATGCCTTGTCAGATTGTGCAGAATCGGATATCTAAGGTTGAAGTTGACGCCGAGTGATGAATAATATACGACTGCAATTTCTCTTCCAGATGCCTACAACGGACGACATCTTTGTTCACCTCGGTCGGTGGCACTTGCCAGTCATGCTGTTCTGCTTCTACCGTGGTTTCCCCGCCGCCTACCACGCAGTGTCAACGACATTCAGTGCACCTGCCCTGGACCATTGGTGTGCCAGACCGCCGGAATTTGCCAACTGGACGAAGGAGGAATGGCTTTCCATGGGAATACCGCATGATATAAATGGTGAGTGAACCCCTGATATGAAAATACGTGAGACAAGCTGGATCACTTTATTGTGGTCAAGATTATTAAGTACATTATTTCATCGAAAACAGTGATTGAAAGCGGATTGGTATTACTTGTGTCACACATTTAGATTGAGATCGTTGAAGAAAAACGAAAATAATCATCAACGTTGGATAAATACTTTTGAAGACTTTTGCTGCAGTGGGCCAAGTCGCTGCAAATCGGATATGGAGCAGTGTGGACGGTTAAGCAGATATTTCGAAGGAGGCTAAAACAAAACAAACTATAAGATATCTCACATACTCAAGATTATATGTAAATATGATCTACACGGCAGAAATAAGATTGCCCGAGCCCCCTCTTAGTAACATTTGATATGTTCAATATTGCTTGCCAATATGTGCAAATGTTCGCATCAGAAATCTCAACTAGGAGTCGGAAAACGTTCTCGAGGTCCTTATCGTCCATTCGGAAGACCCACATTTGACTTTACAGTATACAACTTGAAAAGGTTTGTTCGCAGAAGCGTACACTTCTATAAAGGGCGCTGCGAGGTTGCGTACATTTGAAAACTTATACTTAGCGAAAAAAATTACGAAAACATCTCTGCAAATCCTCTTATTGTCTGTTTAGGGATCAGCTGATTAGCGCACCATATCTGGTAATTGTTTTGAACTTGCTCAGAATTAAGACGTCTGATTTACCAGGTTCGCAATGCAACATAATGTCTGTCCCGGAAATTGTGGCGTGTGTGTATGAAAGGAGGGGGGGGGGGGGTGCAATTTTGGTGGCATGCGGGGAGCCGTATGATACTGGCCCGTAGGACACATCAGGCTCGCGTGTCGCCGGTGGCCGACTCCTACTTTATATGGAGAAGTGACTTTTCCGTTTAATCAAGATTGTACAGGTTCTTTTAAATATGCATACTTCGTACGACGATGGCTTAAGGTTTTTTGATCAACTTGGCAGCAACTTAAACGTGAACGTAAAAAAAAATGTGTTACGTTGGAGTGCTAGTTTTGAAATTTATATCAAAATCGAAGCGCTATGGCAATTAAGATACTTCCACATGACTCATAACACATTGAAGACGAGAGTCAAAATTATGGTTCCGTAAAAATAATTTGCTTGCCAGATCTAATTTTGGTCTTCTACGACGATTATCGTTGTTCCGGGGACTATATATAAGTCATTTGTTTTCTTCAGAAACTCAAGCTGAAAGTGGCACTTCAGAAAAAAAAAATTAATACATGGACTTCCTGGTAACCTGACTAAGGGCCTAGTTAAATGTAGATTTATAAACACGATTATTTTTTAATGTTATTTAACGTTGAGCCCACCCGGTAAAATAAATTTAAAACACAAACACTTTTTACAGTTAATCTTATAATATTTATTATGAGATATTAATACCTAATATATCAAAGTTAAATATGTCTCCACGTAACAACTGGTTCATAAATAAGCGTAAAGTAGATATCACTTGAGCTGGAAAAGTATGTTTATTTAATAGGTTTCTTGAGGACGGTAAGTAATACAGATGCTGCGACAAGAGCAATAAATTACAAACAAAAATATTTCTGTGCTGTGTACTAGTCGACTTCCTGCACTGCCGTGGTCATAAATTAATGTAGATAGCTTACTTTTTTACTTGAATATTCGTAGACTGCTGTTAACATAATTCAAGATCAGAACTAGACGGGGAAACACTATCGAGTATTATATGAATAAATTGAAATTAAATTTATATGAAAGTGTAATACACTTCTCTGCTCGTTTGACAATTTTATTATTTCCAGAATCTAGGCGCAACAAATTTGACACTATAATATACATTGGTTATGCGAATAGACTACTTCCTTAAGACATACAACTAAGAAGAATTAAGCAACCAACATAAAACTTAATTTTTGATCCTAAACTCATACATCTTCAACTCCATTTCCTGTAGCGATTATGTTTAGTTGCTATACAGTTAACATTAAAAAGGATTAGCCAAAGCAAGCTAGACCCGAGCTGACAAAAGGGCCACAAATCGTTCTGCGGCAGTGTAAACATATATGTACGAGGGTTGCCCAAAAAGTAATGCCCTAAATTGTTATGTCCAAAACTAAAGAGAGTAAGACAAAAATCGCAAATTGCAACATTGATTCTTCCTACACACATGTATGTAGTTTCAATGTCGTTGCACAGAGGATGTCTTTTTAATGTTCCACGAAAAAGGTGTCTGTTTCTGACATGCGTCACAAGCAGCGAGTTGTAATCGAGTTGCTAGTGGAGGAGAGAAAATAAAAGAACTTAAGGAAAACTTCATTATTTTTTGAGAGCTGCGTATATAAGTCCTGTGGTCAAATGGAGCACAGCTAGACGATTAGTGAAAAAAAATTAGAATTCCGAAAGTGGAGAGACGGAGCTACATGATTGGCCGCAGTCAAAGCATCCTACCACCACCACATATCTAGGCATGTTGCAGCGTGACAATAAATTTATTCATGCAAATTGACACATCACAAGCCGACAGCTGACCACAGAGCTTTCATCCAGCAAAAGAAGTGCGGTAACAATTGTCAATATTAGCGTCGTGCGCAGCCGTAAGAGGAATTGAAGAAACATTTCTTATCCAGGGCAAGGATGCTCTCTCTCATAAAAGTATCCAAACCGAAGCGGCAATCACCAACATTTGTTGTACTCTACTGCCCCATCCTCTTTACAGTCCTGATTTCACATCAGATTTTCATTCCTTTGGGCCACTAAAGTATGCACTTTCCTGAGCAAGGTTTCTAACATAATTCATGAAGAACATGGCTACGTGAGCGGAAAATGAGCTGGCAAAGAGAAGAGATATATATCCTTTTTTCGCACTAGCAGCATAAAGTCGTACAATTGAGCAACAATTATAAACAAATACTGCGTTAGCATGATATTTGGCGCGAATTTAAACTTATTTGAATACATAAAAAAATATGGGGCATCACTTTGGGAGCAGCGCTCGTACTGGTCGGCTATACTTGGTCTCATCCTACGATATACTAAAGGCCAAACCCACGGGCCACCCAGGTCCAATCACCTTCCCCGCTAAACTGTGACACGCTTAGCATGGATTAGGGGTGCACGAATAATGCTCCGAAACCAAATGCGCTGCGTCATTTTTATACCTTTGACACTGCAAAGAGCGTGCATATCGTGGCTTTGTTTCCAATGTAAAATTGTCATGTCACTCAGTGCTATTCGATCCAAACCGCTGTACGCCCGTCCCCATCAATGATCCGAGACGCGGGAACCGACACTTGCATTAAAGCGAAATAGAACGCAATTTCTAAGTGGCTCGTGATTGTATCTGGCGGTCCGTAGCTTCTGCCTTTAGTCCATCGTAAAGTGAGACGAAGTATAGAAGGTGAGGTGGGTGCGACGTTTGCGCGGGAGAGGGCACTCCCGCAATAATAGCTTTATTTCCAACAATGAGGTAAAGTGTTCGTGGGGGCTTGAGGAAAAAAGCTGTTAAAACAGCTTGACTGTTCCCGAGCACCAAGAAGTCAGTAGCGGAGAAAAAAATTAACAGAAAAATCATCTGATCTATCAACAAAATGTTCAGAACAGAAAAGTCACAGTAGCAATAGTATCTAGATATAACAAAAAATGAACATATAAACATGCCACTCACATTTGATCAGTTTGGCCAAGAATTATTATGTTCCTAGGGTTATCTGCAGATATATTTTCAAGCTTGATGTGTTGCGCACAAAAATAGTTAAGGGTGGTTGGGAGAGTAAACGCTGTAATTTGTTAAAAACAAATTGGGACTTCCCGAGGTTCTGTGACTCTCGTTGGATATGAATATACTTTTTTCTTTTAAGTCAGCTAAGCTCACAAGATGTCGTACATTCATACTCATTTCAGCTTTATATTTAACACGTAGGCGATATCCATATAAGTTTAAAAAATTTACTACATCTAACTAGCTAAATAATTTTTCCGTTAGATATTCCCGTGAAGCATTCCAAATGCTTCGTAGTATCTTTTTTGTAATAAAAATATCTTTTGTAGATTTGTATAAGTGGGTGTTCCCCAAATTAAATGGCCGTAATTAATTTGTGGGTAAAATAGCGAGTTATATACTATCAACTTTATTCTAAAAGGCAATATATGTTTGACATTTTAGAGAAGACATAGAATAGACATTTTTGGAGAAGAATTTCACACATGCGCGAACTTAGAATCTTGAAGGTAACGCTAGAAGACATCTTGGCTATTTGCATGGTAATCAATGCGACTTTGGTGCTATTACGATGGCGTTACAAGGGACTTTATACCTAGCGATCGGCAAAACGCCTTCATAGAGGCAACCGTGTGGCAAGCGAAAGAGGCCTACTCTTTTTCTTTCCGCCTTTCGAGCGAAGAGGTTTGCTGAATTCGCGTAACGATGGGGCAGGAAAATGTTGAGGTCACGTGACAGGCTCTGTAGGGAGAAAAACAGGGCAAACCCGTCGAGACCGCGATGCAGCGCGCAGGCGCGCACGGCGCTTCTCAGAAATCTAGCCACGGAAGACAGTCCCTCTACGTACGTCGAACTCGCTTGTCTCTCTGGAGATGGTCGCGTGATTGCCTCTTGAAGGCTCTTCGTAAGCTCCCCGCTGCGCGGGATTTACCGAGCGGCATTAGGCTTTTACTAGAACGTACGCTGCAGAGAGCGGGCCCGGCGGGCGCGTGCTCATTCCATGCTTCAAAGTGACTGAACAAGCTTCTGCTAGCAAAGCAAAGCTTTCAGCGTACGGTCTACTGAAAATTCCTTTTCATTCAAACCTACAGGAACTTAATATACATGCGGGAAGCAACGACTCTATGGAACTAATCAAGTATCCCCTATAGGATTTATCGTCAAGGCGCTTCTCATCTTCATGCGTCTTCTACCACCAGCTAAACCAATCACGCATAATGATTGTGACGTAACCCTGATTTTTTTTCTGTTGTTGGTTTCGTTGTGTATGTCGAACGCACTAGTAAAACAAGTTTCGTGAAGGTTCACTTTTGCCGCGGCGTCGTTGGCTCCATCCAGTCGTAGAGTTGGCCGCGGTCTGACTGTATGGGAAACTGAGTTTAGCAGCGTCACATTCAACTCCTATGCTTTTTTTCATCGAGAAGGTTAAAAGTACACTGACACCCCCCCCCCCCCTTTTTTTCCCAATATTTTTTTTTTCATTTTTGCCAGGCGATTTATTTGATGTCGGAATACTACTCAATTAATATTTTGCTACAGAGTCACGTATATTTTTAATCAGGCCTAAAAACGCAACTGCTCGAAACCGAAACCCCTGCACCGCACGGAGAAGTGGAGAGGAGAGGGTGAGTGGCGGAAGTCACCTGGCTACACCAGACCGTGCGACCTTTTTTTTTCCTCGCGCAGCAGACGAAATGCTCTGCAGGAAACCGTCGCCTTGCGATTCATTTGCAGTTGTGTTTGTTCCGCTCGCTGTTCTGTACTTCAAGATGAGTTGTTTTGTACATTTAAGTGATGGATATTAGTAGTGAGTGCCTGTGGTGAATTCCCGCGATCGGCTCCGAAAAGAATACGCCCCAGATGTTGCGTGAAGAGCTGCCTCACATGTCCTGTATCTGGAAGTGGCAATGTGCGGCGGTCTGCACAAGTTTCCGAATGATCAATGGGATCGGGACCAATGACTGGCTGTAATTCCTGTAGAACAGTTACGGGCACCTCGGAAAGCGGACGCTACCCGATTCATATGCTCCTTGCATTTTGTGGAAAGTGACTACAATGAGTTCGCCGGTGTCAAAAAGAGAATCCCATACCACTTAGTTTAGCGCCGTATCATCCACAACAATTTTTTTTCAGTGATAATTGTGAAAAAAGAAATGATAACATAAAAAAATGTTTGACAAAAAAAAAGTGAAAGCCGTTTACAACTCCCTGTAACACCAAATTAGAGCGCAGCTCTTGAGGAGGAGGAGGGAAGGGTACTGGGGGGGGGGGGTGAAGTGACCTGGGGGGGTCACGTGACGATGCCGATGATGTCATCAGTGACGTCACTGATGACGTCATCCGTGATGATGACGATGTTGATGCGGATGCCGGTGACGTTTTGTGTTTCATTTTGTGAAGGTGGATGACCAGCGAAGCTGTTTAGCACACGACACAGACCTGCTCCTAGGAGCCGGAGGAAACTAGAGACGCGCGACGGTACCTCCACCCGGCGGAAATTAGACAAACACCACGGGACCGCCACACCGGGAGAGGGGGAAAAAAGGACACTAGGCACGCAAGTGCTTGAAACGACGTCAAAGAGAGGGCCGTGCGAGCGTTGACATGGCCGATGCGGGTCGCACAGCGGCAAATCTTTGAGAAACCTTTATTATCTACCTGAGAGTCTACTAATCTTGAAAACGGTGCCTATTAATAATTAATCTACTGAATAGACCTGTTGCTAAAATACCCAAGCATCAAGAGGAATGTAGGGAATGGTGCTCCACGCCGCACGGGTCGGCGTCTGCAGTAGTGCTAAAGCAAAAGTCTAGGACAAATGACATCTTGCACGCTCGTTCGTCAACGCCTTATTTTGGTTATTTACTTCGAAACTTTTAAACGGGGACGGCATGCGCGTGCGGCGCGAGCGGCGGCGCGAGCGTAGAGTTTTTGGTCATGCACACGAACATCCACGGAACCCTAGCCATAGACAGCTTCGCTATAAAAGATTTTTTTCCTTTAATTTGTACGCGCCGTAGCCCTGCCAATCTCAACATTTCCAGTTCGAATGAACGCCTACGCTTCCACGTCTGTTCAGTGCAGTACGTTTCGTCGTGGTTGAAAAATCGGTGAAACAGTAAGGCCCACTCCCATACCGTCCACAGCACTACAATGGGACAGTGAAAATTGCTGTTCGTAGTCAGAAATGTCTGTTCGCGAGCCATAATCGCGAGCGGTTCCGCCGGTCCCGCTGAGCAGGAAAACCGGGGAACCTTCACTAGAGCGCTTCCTGTTTCCGCCGCGAGAGGGCGAGCAATGAGCTGGAGATGCGAATAGGGCCATCACTGGCAAAAGGTGTTTTGAAACGAAGTAAAAATTTATTGAGGTACTTTTAATTTTCTCGAAGTATTTCAACCTTAGAATTGTTACTGTGATGATGATTACGCAATTTCACCGCACGCAAACAGTGTGGCGATCGTTGGGGGTACTGCAGTGGCTGTCGTGGTCGTCGCTGTTGTCGTTGTTCTTGACGGTGTGGCCGCTGTCTTTTGATTTGGGCATGATACAGAGGAACTGTTTATGTACCGAGACTTACGCTACAAAGTCCTCGCAGCATGCCCCGGTAATAACGCTTCGCGCAATTACGCAATCGATGGCGGTCGTTTCCGTTCCTGACTGTCAGCGCTCAAATGTTGAGGCGGGCGCCCGCGTTTTTGTGGCATTGCGAAGGCGTGTGGCAAAATGGCGCGCCTGGAAAGAGAAGCTCGGCTTTGCATGGAAAAAATTACGCCATGCATTTGTCTCTCTGTATGGCAACGCGCGCTTCAGTTCGGCATGAACCGGATACAAAGCCTTCGCGCCAAACTTTCTGGGTCGCAGGAAGGGTTCGCGCTGTTTTGCCCTTTCCAGTCGTCCACGTCCCGCGCACACTTTCTAAGCCACGTGTTTCTGCTCTCTTCTTTTTGCCGTTTCCACCCCTCTCTTATTCGCGCGCTTTCTCACACCACCTGCTTCTGCTCCTCCTGTTCCTGCGTTCTGGGTAAATATCTCAGTCAGCAGTGTACTCGGCTTCCACGCCGGTGACTGGGGTCAATCCCTGGCACAGTTTGCCTTCTTTCTCAATATCGTTTAGCAGTTACGAACTGACCGATCAACAGATTTCGTGCTTAGGCGGCTCCTGAGGTTGGTTGATACTGCAGGCCATTGATTAGCCTGGCGTGAACGAAACTTTCACCTTGCTGTAAGTTTATCGATGCCACAAAAGTGCAGACGCTCCTTTCGCCAATAGGGAGAGGGCGTGCTTGCGAGGGAAAATGACAGCTTAAAGAAGCACCGACACCCCAAATGTCGTATTTTTTGTATACGAATCTGTTCATAATAGGTCTTTGTTTCGCCTCGTACATCGGCGAAACAAAGAACTATCATGAACGGATTCGTCAACACAAGGCTGGTGTGCGCAAGTTCGATCAAGAGGTCAATGCGGTTGCTCAACACTGAGAAAAAAATGACCACCGCAATGACTTTCTTAAAACGCGCATCCTGGATATTGAAACTAACCCAGGCCGGGGGCTCTTTCTTGAATCTTGGCACACTCAGACCACGCGAACAAACATTAATAGGTATCTTGGCGCACTGCCATCTGTGTATGTGAACGGGCTCCATTACGTGTCATCACAAAATGGCCAGAAAGGAAGAGGAAGCGATCGTGCGCATTTGCCGCAAGAAGATTGCGGCACCGTCCCTCTACAGTCGCCCCTGAAGAAAAAGCCGAGCAGGTTTCGAAACGTTGGGCCCCTTCTTTAGGAATTAGTTGGTCCTTGTATTTTAATAACAAATATCACAATGCGAAAAAAAAAAAAAAAAAACATTTTCCCACGCGCGCGGGCGCCTTCTTATCTTTGGAGCTCTCCTCTCTCCCCCTCCCGCTCGCCACATGTAGCACCGAGGATGATCGGCGCGTCGAAGTATCGGACGAAGTCCCCCTTTGTACGTGTCCGACTACCGCTCAAACTTCAAAAAGAAAATCGCCAAACGGTCAAAACAACTTGGTTTTGTGTCTGTGTACCGTATACGGTTGTGACTCCGCCGGGTCAGCCTTTGACGCAGAACTGCGCGTCGTGGCCCCTCATCGCTTACAAAAGTCCACTGCGCATTCTCTTCGATATCCCACCGTTAAAAAATATTGAGATTCCTGAAAGGGCCCTAAAAAAACTTCAGACTCAAAAGTGAAGCGTTGTCCGCTCACAGCGATAGACGGCACTCATGGAGAAGTGCGGTTGATCTCGAGACGCGGGCGAACACAACACTTCGGGTCTGGACGGTTCGGAGGAGTGAGAGAAACTCAAGACGATTCAATTATTGACGTCACTGCACCAGCGCGGACCGTGCGGGAAGCTCAAATTCGGTTTTCGAAAATTGCTTTTTTTGTTTGTTTTTACTTCGTAAATAGTAAGTTTCCAAGTTTCAAATTTTGAGGGTAATGTGAAGGCACCGTTTTCAATCGTTTCGGATAATAAAAATATATGATGCAGACGACCCTTCGAGTTAATGGGACCAATCCAGCAGCGTCGAAAATGCAAGTCACGCGCCTTTTTTGGTTTATGATTGGTTCAACAACATTAGAACACGTACAGAAACACGACGAACACCACGATGGTGCGCTCTCGACGCTGCCGGACTGGTCCCATCAGCTCGTAGGGTCGGCTACGTCTTTTCTCGAGGTGGAACCAAGTACAGGCCAAGTCAACTCACTGATATAACGCCACTGCGGTGGTGCTGCTGTCGGTATTGCGCATGCGCAAACGCTTCATCAATCCCGATTTTAGTATCTGCGCACGCGCAGTGCCCACACCTGGTGTGGTCAGAGTGGGCCTGTTTGTAAACGCTGTGTTGGTGTATAGCTCGGAATTGCGGATGCAGTCATCACCACCTCTACCCCAATAAACTTTTACAATCAAGCTCGCGTCTGCCCGCACCATGTGTGTGGCAGCGCGCGTGGCCAGAAGCCAGATTCGCGTGGGGCGAAGCTTCTGCGCATGTGCAGTGATCGACACCAGCGCCACCGCAAATGCGTAACGTCAGAGAGGGAGAGATGATTTGGTTCATGGCGCAGCAAACTTTTGACGTCCGACTGCGGCCAACGCTACGATCGTAAAGAGTCAAAAGAACGTCGTCGCCAAATGCGTGTGCGAGCACAAGTTCGTCTGCTTCTTCCACAGGGGTTGCGATGATGCCAGAACGCCAAGCTCTTATTGGCTAATTGAAAAAAAAAATAGTGGGTTTACTTCAGGTCATTTAGCGTCGAGGTCTACATACTATCCTGTCAATTAAAGCCAATCGAAGATCGGCGTCTTTGTGACGTCACCGCAGCTCCTGCGCAACAAGCAGACGACTTGCTGTCCGCATTGTCAGGGAGGTCGTCGTATTTGTGCGTTTGCCATTAACGACTAAACCTATTGTGCAAAGTGAATGCGCCGTGATACTACGTTTTCTTGGTGCGGGATTGATTTGGTTCTGGATAGAACAACCAGAAAAACAACGAGCGCCATTGATGACGCACTTGTGAAGTTGCTTGATTGTTCTATCCAATCTTGATTTCGGCTGCGATCGGACTTAAACGTGAAACGGAGTATAAAATAATCAAAGCCCGCGTACAGCCTCCTCTACCTCCGCGCATCATCTTCCCACTTGGATGACGCCGATTGGGCCATTCTCGGGCGTCATCTCAACTTTGAGCGTCCTCCGACACATTTACTAAATACGGGGAGGATCGCTGGCCGGGTGGGCTGAAGCGCACACCCAGCTCGACGCGTGTGGAGCGAAAGTTCGCGCTGCAGAACCCAGGGATGCTGGGTTCGAGCCCCATCCCTGCCGGTTTCGATCTGGGTGAGCATCGTACAGGCGTGCGGTCGTGTATCACTACTGCGTGGTGCACGTTAAAAACCCCAGGCTAGCGATTGTACTGCACTGGCTAAATTGCTCATCTACAGCGTCTGACTCATCGCAACTTTAATGGCTGACCAGCTACAGGCTGTATAAATATCCCCCCAACCTACCAGATACGTTGCCTGCAGCCGAACCCTGACGCAACACTCGTCTCCAATCGATTGCGTTCAACCCCACTGTGGTGACGTCGAAGTGTTAGGGCAAGGTCTTTGATTATTCTAGGGGGTTTTAATGTAGAGCTGTCATGCGGTCGTGCTTTGGTTGTCAGCCAACGTACGCTACCGTGCTGATTGGGACACGGAGATACAAAGTTTGGAGCGGCTCTCGGCTGCTGAGAGAAGCGAGCTATCGCCACACCCCACTCTTTCATACTCAATTTCACCTTCAGTCTGAGCGCAGCCGACGGTACGTGTTAATGGGATCGATTAGAAATGAAGCAGTGCAGTGTCACAAAAGTGGGTACCTTTTTTGCGTGTGAATGCTGTCATCATCGGCTAAACTAATTGGTCGCAGTGAACGCGCTGCGGCCTCGCCCGTGTACTTCACTCGTTCCAAGTAATCAAATTTATTGCAATAGATTAATTTTTAGAGTAATTTTGTAATCATTCGGATACGTTTGTCAGAAAGAAATCACCAGAAAAATTTTGTTGATTTTGAAAGTACGGAAACTGCTTGTAACAATTCCAATTTTTACTTTTCCTTCCTAATGAGCCTTTTGTACAAATTTGCTACCAAGGAATCATCCAACCAAATCTGCGACGGGAGGATTGTTTATCATAGTTGCTAAATTAAGATAGTGATTAGTTTATAGTTAGGTCATTCTAATACCACAATGGACCACACAGAATCATTTCACCCGTTTTCAAACCGGAAAAAAAAAAATTGTTTTTTTTTAATTTGTGAAGTAATCGGAAACGTAGCGGTTACTTTTTCAACTAACGCGTCCAATCATCTTTCATCTTAAGTATTCGAGTAACCCTAATTAATACTTTTAATCCAAAAGCTATTGTAATTGTAATCGGCTTCTTTTTTCGAACAATGTCTGCAAGACCGAGTGAAACGGCGTATAGCTGACAGCAAGAGCGGGAAAGGACGGCTTTGCGGGTGCTATCCTTGTGACACATGGGAGGCCGGGAGGGATTACATTTTGTACAATGTCTATTCTAAGAGCGACGCTGCTCTGACCCGGGTTTTCACTGGCTCTCCAAGACTGTTTACGTGGATCTCTTTATGCTGGCTTGTTGAGAGCAGCGAATTGAATTTTTATAGTCGCCGCTCTATTTTCATTGTAGGTTTTAAGACGCTGACCAGGGAAATATTATATTACAGTATTAGCGTAGCACAAAAAAGTTATTTGATACCATAAATGTCCTAGAAACATGCCTGACATCGGAAGGAGGAATCGGCGTCGTTGCTCTTAATTTTCGTTCATTCGCTAACGATCAGCGCCGCGTGCATCTATTTCACCGTTGCGGCCTTCAATCTCTAGTGCTACCCTCTTTTAGTGCCGATTGTACACTAAATATTTCAACTTGAGTGGCGTCCAGCAAACTATATGCAATAATGAATTATTATTTTTTAGCCATAAGCGCCTATTTGGACGCTAAATTATGCAAACAACGCGCGCTGAATTCCGCAGTTACAAATTATTACTCAGAAAGGCGTTTCGCACAAATTTCAATGATAGACATTAATAAATATGTTTAAATATAAAAAAAAAGAACTTGCGTAGGTTTGTGTAAAGCGGGGCAAGTCCATTTTATTTGTACATTTGCCGCTATCTAGTTTATACCTCTCAGTGCTGCCGGTACATTTCAGACAGCGGGGACCTGAAACCAAGTCGGTGTGAGGTGTTTTCATGGGAAAAGCTTCTTGACGGCAGCGTCATAATTCATAATAATACCAGGGTCCGCTGCTCAAGTTGGGAGTACGACATGACCGGCCACACAAACACTCTGACCAATGAGGTAAGTGACTTGTTGCGATCTGCGGGTACAGTACCAAACAAAAAAAGAAAACGCGAAGGACGGTGTGACAACTTCTCGCCGTGGTCGTGCCACTCAGCCGACGTCAATATCAGCATTGACGACAACGGTCGTCAGAACTGCGCAGCTTGCGATGTGCTCCGAGACTAGTGACGATGAGAAATGACCGTCCCCTTCACTAAACAGACATCGGAACGATATTTATTTCAACTTACCACAACACGAGGTGCCAATTGCCTCCACTTCTGAGTGCTGGTAATGAAACACGGATATTTCTAATGCTCTAAGATGACACGCAAACAATCTTTGTTAGTCACACATTTCAGCGCGAATCGTCACGACACAGTAAAGTCGATAAAAAGTATATCTCGGTTCTTTTTTTCAATGTGTCGTTACCTGGCATTCGAAACGCGCGTGCGGAATTGTGAGCTTTCGATTCCCGCCGAAGGTGGCAAAATTCTGAAGCACATGGAGGCACGAATATCATTTGATCAAAGTGCCGGTCACTTGGCACCGTCGCTACTCTCGATACGCATCACGGGCTGCCCTAGAGCTTCCACTGACGACCATTAAGTGACGCGACGAGGCCGAGAGGTTGTCGTTCTATCGTTCGCGTTTCTTTGGTTTCTAGACGACAACGTTTGATAAACCAGGAGACGTTTCATTAAACTGTATCACGTTTAGTTGTAACTGTACATCGTTTCACCTAGAGTCCGGACGCATCAGACGAGCTTATAGGACCAACCAAACAGCGTCAAAAGCACAAGTCACTGAGCCTTTCCTGTGCATGCTCGATTCATCGATGGTAGAACACGCAGAGAAGCCTGATGAACACTACGTTGGTGCGCATTGGAGGCTTTATGATTGGTTCCATTAGCTCGTCTAAACCCAAAAACACTTATGAAAATCAGTTAGTGTTAGCAAAGCGAGGTCAGTTAAAACCGAAACATACCAATTTCTGGATGCTCGTGCTCCAACTTTTTTGGGGAAACATTCCTCAGTAATATTTTTACTGTGTGTTTTATACTCTAGTTTTTGCTAAGCATCACTTTTTTTGTGGTTCGCCCGGAAGAAGTTACCGAGAGACACATATATTTAAAATTAAGATAAACACTGAGAAGCATCCGCCGGTTTCCTTTTTGATTGAACGCTCGTAAATCTACGACTTGGTTGTAATGAATAATGAGTGTGACAAAGTAAAGTAATTTACTACAACTAAAATACCACAGATTCGTGCAGGAGCAGTAATGTGGAGGTGCCAAAGCCTCCAAAAAGGATATATCGGGTGTTACTTGCAACGCTGGACAAATCACTCCTGTAAAAAGTATGCCTCGCGCATAAAAAGGGTTTGACATCGTATTGACTTTGGTCCAAGGTTTTTTTTTTTTAAATTGTATATTTGGTATAACTGGGTCTTGATTACCATAAAAAATTAAATTTATAAATAGTAAGTTTAAAGGTATGGTATAAATTGGAAGCCATCTTAGAATAACCGAAAAAGACTAAATCAATAAATTTTTAAAAAAATATATGGTACATTTTTCGGCTTACAATAAAAACAGCACTCAATTTAGACACGTTTTTGGAGGCTCCGTTTGGTATGAAAAGCCATGTTCGTGTCGGCGGTCTATCCTTCCCATGGTCAAAGAGCGCAAGTCACGTCAGCCGTCAGGCGTTATTCTCCTGACAAGGATGAGAATATAACCCTGTTCTTGTGTTGTCATTCGAATAGCAGAGGCTATTATTTTGCCGGCTCGCGCCACACATCCTTCTCTTTCACGAGGATGGAGAGGCGGTAATTGCGCGCTTTTGCCACTGGTATCAGCACCGCTGGCGCAAGAACATGGTCCAATACAAAACCGACACCTAGAAATGCGTTAAATTTGTGCTTTTTCTTTTATAACTCCTTTAAATGCTGAGGATGACTTCTATTTTTGTAAAGTGGGCTAAGTTTGTCGTTTCTGATGATTCACAAATATTTTCTTATTGTTACAACACCTTCTTTTTTGACTAACTAAAAGTCAATTTCTTCAAAGTACTGTTCACAGATTCGAGGAAACAAGGAAGAAGCGCTGGATTTTTTGTTAACTGCTTAACGCCGGCATGGGAGAGAGATAGTGCATGTCATCTAAAGGTGTTGCCTGAATTTGTCATGTTTTCAGGCTCAGTAAAAAGTAACAAAAAAATTTGAAATTGTGCTTTTCGAAGAAACTTTAGCTTCCGAAGGTAAGTAAAAAAATGCGAACCATGAATAAGTTCTTAATTCTGACATTTATTTCCATGTCAGAATGATAGAGCGATAGCACGTGTGCTCAGTATGCCTTTATGCTGCACGCTGAGGTTTCACGAACCACAAATAATTGAAATTCAACACTCCTACTTTTCGGTGCGTCGCACCAAGAGCGACTCCTGCCTCTTGCCTACCTCTTGCTCAAAACGTAGATTGGTCAACCCTCGCCATTTTTTTTTGTTTCAAGGTAACCTGTAAGAAAAGTTTGAGAGAGGTCACATTATATAGAGCTATGCACAAGCCTCAACTATGCCATCCAATTTCGACTTCATATATGGCAAACGTTCGCAGAGACTCGCATAGTATCCCAGAAAATAGAGGATATCTATTTAAAGTTTCAGATATTTATGCATGTTGAAAAGCAAAATACAATTTATCATCTCCTTTTCAAGGAGAACAAGAAAAAAGATAAACGATCGCCAATTTTGAGTGTAGGCAAATTTGCAAGTCGACCAGGCCGCCCGTGCTTAGAATGCTTTAGCGGAAAATTTGTTTTCTATTTGTATTTGTCAGCTGAGTCTTGCTTTCGATCTCGTTTCGGAAATTTTTTTCCTTTCTTTCAGTTCAACCTGGTCTGTGATCGTGTCTGGCTGCGAGCCACATCCCAGAGCGTTTACATGGCCGGCCTCATGGTGGGGAACTTTATCTACGCTCACCTCTCAGACTGGTGAGATTTACATGCATCTCACTTTATTCAGTTAATGCAACAGTTGTCTTAAAAAATGGCTTAGAGCAGCAGCGCAGTACACATTACAAAAAAAAAAAAACATAAATAGTTTTTTTATGCAGATAACAAGCCAGAGTTGTTTGACGTGCTCGGCAAATCGGGTTAAGGAATCTTGAAACAAAACTGGTTTAAAAGCGGCTTGAGTATGAGGCCGAGGTACATCCAAAAATGAACATAATACTGTTCAGTATCATCATGTTAGCTCCAATTTTCGGTTTACAGAATATGGGTGTAGACATCGGAATGTGCAATATTAATGTAGTATGGATCCCAACACATTATACGAAGTCAAGGTATTGAATAGGCCGTCTTCTGCCAGCACGTCTAAGTCTGTTACTCGCTCGAATGATGAATACCGAAGACACCTTAGAGATATAGTATATGACACGCATACTTACGGTAATCACTCATTTATTACTTACAAGCTGCCCGAACGACGCAAAGCATTAATCACACTACTTATTGTGGTTGACACTTTATGTACACAAGAAGTGAAGCGTTGCTAAGCATAATAGTCTAGGTTAAAGAAAAGAAATGCTAGCCACAAATAAAAGAAAACTATGCGGCATGCTACATGTTCAATACCGACTACTGATTTTTTTTAGATATATCGCTAGGGATACGCACCTGAAATTGGAACCGTTCCCTGCTGACCTTCGTTTTTAGATATGTCGCTGGGGATAAACACCTAAAAGTGTAATCGGTCCCTCATTTATAAGAAATAGCATTGAAATGTTTTTGAGACATTTAATACCATTTTAGCGCGTAGCGTTAAGGAGCCTGTGTTACAAAAACGCTGGTGTCGGTGGTGTGCGCTAAAATCCAAGATTGGTCGATAGGGTAATGACGTCACGGCCACATGAACTCGCGCGGGAATTTCCAACAACCCACAACGCTCACGTGAAACGTGACGTCACGCGTGGAATGAAAGTGAATAAATAATATGACATGTAATGCGAAGTAAAATTCGCCACATGGTCTCAAATGATTTAACTTTATAAAGTTATTCACTTCCCTTAAAAAAAAAAAAAAAATCTTTTAGGCGGGATTTGAACCCTTGTTTCTTCTGTAGCGAGCCAGACACGCTATACTGATTAGGCCACCCAAGGCACACTTGTATGTCTTGCAAACGAGCGGGAGTTTATATGTTCATATGTTTTGCCATTGTCTGCCACTCTTAAAGGCGAAGCTAAAGCATCCTCAAAATAAGATTTGTAATTCAAAAGACTTCCTTTGTTGCTCCAGGGAATATGTTTATTTCTGCAGATGGATTCTCAGCGCTAGAAATGGATTTTTTTTTTGTTTTGCGTGATTATTCGTACAGTTGGTTTGTAGAGAAAGCAATATTTGGCTGTTAATAACAATCGTGAAGCTATGAAAAAAAAGTCACAAAATACATTTTAGACGAATTTTATTGTGATATGTTTTCCTGTGGTAAAGACACAAGATCTAAAGAGCAAAAGAGTGTTCTGACTAGGTCGGTAGTATAGGCACCGCTTTTGACACGTAGAACAACGGAGTAGAATCATATGTGCGCACTTATTTGTTTCTTTATAAACAACTGTTCTTACAGGCGTTGTTTTTGTATTTTATCGGCAAGGATATGTAATTGCGTTGCACCCAATGCGCAAATCATAAAACATCCCGATGTCGTTATAATCGATGAACTACCGAGTCGTCTATGATAATGATGTAAGTCCATATTCTGTATGACGAGACGCCGGGGCTTAAGATGCAAACGGTAGAGGTCAATGCATTATCGCCAAGTAAACAATCCAAGTAAAATGATCTTCTCAGAGTCGTGTCTCGGGATCTTTTATACTGACCCCTTCACCGTCGTTCCTTTAATGCTTCTTTCACGACGGGGTTAATGGTAACATTGGTGATGCAACTGCAAGAAAGGCAGTGAACGACCCGTATTATTTACATCTTGGGAAATAGTGTACGTAGACCATACGCGGACACAAAAAAAGCGGTAAGATTAATCATACCTTTTGGGTACTAAAGAAATAAAAAACAGCCTCGCTTTTTTGGAACACATGTTAAAAGCACAACTAAATGACACGCTTTTTATTAAAATAAATACAAAGTGTCACCAGAATTATGAAAAAATACCTATATATTGCGTAACGCAGTTTTGAAAACCAGACAACCGATCAAATTGGTGCAGCAATATGGCGGCCCCAATAAGCCTAATGACGGTAAGTCGTGGGCGGGTGATAAGAGGAAATAAGAAAATGCAGTTGGTATCTTATCATAACAACTGAATATTTGATTCGTATCAATTTTTAATTTATAAATTTAGATAACTAAAACGGAAGAGCGTATAATAGTATAAAGCTGGCATGTAATATGTTTATTTAGGCATTAAGGTATTCAGCAGAAGTGTGTCAACCTCAAACCAGAGTCGAAATTTAAACTGTAGTGTTCCTGCGAAAACCAAAATTTTATATTATTTTTACTTCAAAACTAAACTACACTCACCGAGCGCTTCGTCTCCACCCCAATGTGGGCCGTTAGTGTGGACATTAACGGCCCAAACAAGAAGCTAGAGCTTTAGAGCTTGCTGTTATGCAATAAAAAGGTAGAAGCGATTTTCAAAGTTTTCTTAACGGAAATGGGTCCTGTCCTTGGTAGCCGACGCCACTCGTCTTCAAGTATTCTTAGGCTTCATCGGCCGCTATATTTTTGTTAAAACATACTAATAAAGATTGCTTATAAAGTTTGTGTTAAATAAAGGGAAGCTCTGAAAACTTGCCATTTGGCCCGGATTGCTAGCCACGTATTTGGTGGGAGACCGATTGTTACTGAATATTAGATTATTTTTTGGATGAAAAAAAAAAATCTGTACTCCTATATGTTTTGTTTTCTTTCGGACACCCGGCATTCATCTCCGTAAACTCGTGGGTTTCGTCGGCTGCCATTTTCCGACTAAACATTTTCTGAAATCGCTCATAACTTTCGATTCTGATAATGGCAAAGTCTAAGAATTTGACATGTTGTCCGGACCGCTAACGCAATATTTGGACTGGAACTAAAACCGCTACAACGCGTTTTTTTTTTTTTTTCGCATAAGAATATATAATTTTTTTTTTTTTTTTTTCGAGAGATGTTGTGCCAAAAAATAATGAAATTAGGGGCGCGGAGATGTTGAATGGTTTCGTTGTGCTTTTCCGAAAGATGCCATGGAGAGTGACTGATTTCCGCCTACATCTCATCTCCTTAAATTATTTCATTTGTGCTCGCAGGTATGGAAGGAAGCGGGCGCTGGCGTTCATGGTTCCCGTTCCAATCGTTGCTGGCATTTTGACAGCCTTCTCGTCCAACTTCCTAATGTTCAACGTCGGCAGGTTCATCAGTTCCCTCGGAATGGGAGGAATCCAGAACACGACCTTCACATTTGGTAGGCAAACTGGAGCTTTTAATTGTTTATATCGCGTTTACCACACTTGGAATCAAGAGCGTGCTGGGAAGGATAATATAAAAAATGAAAAAGAACATAAAGCGCAAAGCAAACAATACGATTTCCCATTTTTGTCTTGTGCGTCCTTCTGTTTTGTGTTCTTCCAATTATTTCTATTTGTTTACCACAGTTGTGCTTAAAAGGTAACTGCAAAGAAAAAAAAATATTTTTTCTAACAGCCTAATTGGGACAAGCAGGTCAAAAAACAATTTTTCCGTGAGAAAAAAAAATTACAGCAATATTTATTGCGTGAGACTGATTTTAGTTTGCGGCTATTTCGCCCGTTTTAAATCGCGTGCCACGAAGTTGGGATTTCGTGACGTTAATCCCAATCGGCTGCTATACTTCTCATTGCCTAAGAGTTTGATTGACAGCTTAGATCTTGGTTGTTAAACCTTTGTTATTTGTTGCAATTTCCTTTTGAGCGGCATATTTTTACGTTTAAAGAATAACCCATGTGATAAGAGTTATTAGTCTTTACAAAAGGTTGACAAGACGGGCGCTTACGTTTGGATTCATACCATAACAAACAAAAGCTTCGCCATTCTTTCATGGCCGCCGTAGTCTTTGCTCCCGCCTGTCTCGCCTACCTCGACTAATCGTTTCGGCGAAGTGATCAGTGTTTCGTGCTGACCCAGGTGCTTGAGTGAGACTTCTTGAAGTGAAGTAGTGTGTGTTTAGCAGCTGTCGCAGGTGTTAGTGATAGGAAGCGACGCGGGGGTTTGGCTTTCATAGCGCGGATCTTTCGTTTTCCCCTTTGCTTGCTTAGCGTGCTTTTTTTGTGTTTGTTTTGCTTGTTTGCGCGTGCAAATGCTGACTTTTCGGAGATGTCAGATGCGTGATCCCGACTGTGAGCCTTCCAGCAGCCATGTCGCCCCGAAAGGAATGCTATTTGGCTGGAGGCAATCGGGCGTTTGCGTAGCGACGAACGTGTCCAGTTACGTTCTCGTCGGGTCCATATTACATGAGCGAATGACGTTTTAGCGAACAGCGACAATTGAGCGAATCGTCGTTTTAGCGAATAACGGGGGCGCGCGTTAACCCATCCGCCGCGCTGCGCTTTCGCCGCTTGGCGGCGACAGTCTGCGGCGGCTCATTACAAAAATGTGAACCCACTTCGCCCACCTGAAAACGCCGCTTCGCGGCGTCCGACTATTCGCCAAAGTGCCATTCGCTGAAACGTGGGCGTTCGTTAAAACGTCATTCGATCAAGTGAGTGCTTCCCGTTCTCGTCATATCGCTCCGGAGGCCATCGAGATTCGCACCGGGCGCACCTAACGTCCACAACTAGACACACAAAATAAAAAACACCATGTTCACTACGTAAAAAGTGGTCTCAGTTCATGCATCTGTAGACAGGTACAAAATCTTGCCCAAATTTATCCACACCGCACGACGAGCGCAACACGTCGCTGTGCAAACGCAGTCCAACAACACTAAGCATAAAAACGGCAGATTTAGGAGAACAATTCGGAGTCCATTGTTCAATTAAAACGACGTAATTTATTTGAAAACGCCCGCAACTTTTTACTCGCGGTATGCGTCCGGAATCTTCCCCATTTTGAAACAGAACGAAGGAAGATTTACTTTTAAAAACGCTTGCTGCGTCCTCCCGGGCCAGTTTTACTGGATCAGCTGACGACGGCGGGACTGGACCCGTTGTACGTCAACCGCGCATAACACACATAGCACCGCATTACACACACCACGAACGTTTCAGCTCTGTCGCATCACCGTGTTGCACCAAACAGAACAAGATCGCCGAAACCAACGCAGCGCTGTCGTGAACCTTGGCTTGTGGTTGCGCACTCGTGGATACTGTGACTCTCTTCGCTTTCAAAGCACGCACGACGATTACGAACGATACTTTCCGTCTTCCGGGAACATCACAGGGGCACCCCCTCCGGTCACGTCTTCGCTACATGTGCTCGCAAACCGCGTCAAACCAGAACAATACCGCGGCCTGGCGTAGTTGCCAGATCTTGCCGGAAGTCGAGACGCTGCGTCGTTCAACTCCGCAAGGCAAGGAGAGTGAGGGGCGGGGCGTACTCCTCTTCCGCGGGGGTCGAAAGAGCGGGAGTTTCAAATGTGGAGAGGTTCTGACTCTACTAAATTACGTCCTGTGGCGTAAATATTGATAAAAAAAATCATTTTTTTAGCGGAAAATTTGTTTTGTGACATGCTTGTCCCAATTAGGCTGTTTAAAAAAAAACTTTTTTTCTTTGCAGTTACCCTTTAAAACACATGCGAACCACTAAGGGGGTTCATACTAAAAATATACACTTTATCCGGTTTTCTGTTTAGAATGTATTCTCGCGGAAACATGGTTTCTTGTAATATGAGACTGGCCATAACAAAAAGAAAGCTGAAAATCCTTTTGCAAGCTTTTTTAATCAATATCTGATGCGATCAAATCAAGAGTCTTTACCACTGAGACAGAAACTCAGCTTGCCTAAGTATAAATCCACACATCTCAAAAAACACGTATTACGACATTGCCCGCTTTCAGACTTCCATGCGCGTTTTAGTGCGCACGTGTCTAGGCGTGCGTGCCTGCGTGCGCGTTTTCGTGTATGCCCGTGTGAGCGCGTGCGCTTGTGTGCGTGTGTTTATATGTATTCGTGTGTATGTGCGTGCGTGACGGAAATAATTGCAAACAATGCCGCTAGCCCTGCCCACTATGGTGCATAGCAGAGAGACGTTCTTGTTTTGTGTTCCTTGTTGTTATCTCGGGATAGCGTCCTTGGCAGAGGCGCCTAACCATGCTTCCGGTGTAATCACAAGGTGCCGTAAAGCGCGCATCCTTCTTGTGCCCCCTAAATGTATTGCGAATAAACAGAGCTTAATGCGTTTTTTTTTCTTGCCTGCGTGCAGTTTTGGATAACGACAAAAGCAATAAAACTTAATAAATATTTTAAGAAAACCCAGAATTCTCATTCTCAAAATAGAACACTTATACCACTGTCAGACAGGCATATTAAACGACTTCAGAAGGAACTCCAACAACAAATATGCGAATTAGCTCCAGATCTTGCTCTCATCGCCATGCGCTGGTTCGCCGACCCTTTAAATGAGTTCGTTCTGAAGGACTTCGACGTGCCCTTCTGACAGTGGTAAAATACTCTTTGGAGATACTCTCAAAGTAGACTTCATTAAGTTTTATGAGCTGGGAAAAAACGGATATCCTTGTATAATTAAGAAAACAAACTCAACTTTCACTGTTTTTATAATTTTCAGTAGTTTGGAAAGTTTTTAAAGGTGACCTATATAAGATATTTAATAACTTCGACATAACCAGAATGCTACAATGTAGCTCTTTTTTAAAGTATACCTATGCACTAATATGCGTACTAAAAATAATTTGTTGCACACTTTAGTGTGTAAGCACAATTCAAGCTTTTCGGTAATGTCAAGGTTATTAAATATTTTTTTAAATCGGTCCCATTTAAAAGATTGCAGAACAACACCAGGAGTCGTCAGAGGGACGAAGTTAGACATTCCTTACTATTATATAGAAAGCAACAACAATCATTTTCAATTTATTACGGCAATGCATTTACATTGAAAGTGTCACAGAAGGATTCTACTACAATTGTGTGATAAGTAACACTATAGCGAGTGGTCAAACAGGCCATTTCCGACAGGTGTCAGTACAGTTTGTGCCCCTTTGATAATTTGGCAAAGATAGATAATTTAGAATGTCTGACCTATTTAAGGTAAGCTAAGCCAGTGACCTATTTAAGCTACCAAACACGCGATTTCCGACAGGTGGCAGAAAACAGTTGGTGTCTCTTTGATCATTTTGGCAAATATAGGTAATTTAAAATGTGTGACCTATTTAAGCTATTTTAATGACCGACATAACCAGAAATACCAGACTTGGCTCTTTTCATTGAACACAATCTTACTTCGGTATGTTTGAACTACATATGTCGCATATATTTGAGTGAATAAATGTTTCGAAAATCTAGAAAAGTTTAAATCAAATTTCTGAAAAAAATATTTTTATCTTCTTTATATTTAATTGGTAGAAAGGTATAATAGTGGTTTAATAAAACATATATATAATATGTAGAATTTTGTTTATATGAGCGTAATTAAAGCTTGAACATTGTCAGGCGTGCGTTGTAAAACTGCAAGCTTTGTTGTGTAGTAAAACATTGTTTACTCTTGCTCACGCCAAATCTCACTTATTTTTAAGGTTTTGTGTTAAAGTGTGAATATCACGTATTTAAAAATACCACGCCTAATCACTGGCCAGATTAGTATCTACGCTAGGTCGACGTCAAAATGGACAACTCACAAAATTCAAGCATTAATTGATGTCTTAAAAAAACTCGTAGAAAAACTCAAAACAAAAAGAAGATACATATGTATATATATATATATATATATATATATATACCGGGTGTTTTTGCGAAGACTTTCAAAAATCCTAAACATTATGGCGTTTGAAACAAAAATAAACTGCCTTCGGGAACATACTACCAGCCACGGCGGACGTCAGGAATTGCGAAAAACATACTAATTAACCAGCTAATTAATTAAAATTTGTTAATAAACTTTTTAATTAGTGGAAATAGACTTATGGTTCCAATTAGAAACTTGCTGAGCGTTATCGAAAACCGCTAAATCAGTCATTTTCAGAAAGACTTTGAGCGCGTGAGAAGAGTAGTAGCGCACTAAAATTACCACTCGTGGAGCAGGTACAAGGCTAGCGGTTGCGGGAAGGCGCCGCGCCATTTTTCCGCCTCTTATCTAGCCCCAGCCTTGTACCTGCTCCACGAGTGGTAACTTTAGTGCGCCACTACTCTTCTCATGCGCTCAAAGTCTCTCTGAAAATGACTGATATAGTGGTTTTAGATAACGCTCAGCAACTTTCTAATTGGAATTATATGTGTACTTCCAGTAATTAAAAAGTTAATTAACATATTATAATTAATTAGTTGGCTAATTATTATGTTTTGTCAACTCCTGACGTCCCCCGTGGCTGGTAGTTTCTTCCCGAAGACAATTTCTTTCTTTTTCAAACGCCCTCATGTTTAGGATTTTTGAAAGTCTTCGCAAAAACACCCGGTATATATATATATATATATATATAATTAAATCGGTCGGGAATTTGTAGAGGTTTCTAAACATTAGTTAATTCATATATATGTGATATATTTTGTTTAAATATATCAAAGTGATTTTGTGTTCAATGAAGAGAGCTAAGTTTGTGATTTCTGGTTATGTCGAGCATTAAATATCTGATATAGGTCACACATAAAAATAACCAATCTTTGCCATAATATTCAAAGAAACACGACCTGTTTTCCGCTAGCTGTCAGAAATCGCATGTTTGACCAATCGCTGTATTGTTGCTTATTAAAACTACTGTACTAGACTTCTACTGAGATACTTTTAAGATAGATTAATTACAATAATAACTTGATAACATTGTTATTTTTTAAAGTAATTTTCAAAAAACTTTCAACAGCGTACCCTTGATGATTCTTGGCATGATTTTGTAATATTTTACCACTCACAGGTTTAAAATATTTTAATAATATTGACATCACCGGAAAGCTCGAATTGAGCTCTTTTTCTTGAATAGGAATTCAACAAGATATGCTTAAATGAAATATCTTACATACATTTTAATAAACGAATGTCTAAAAAATCTAAACAAATTCGGGTTCGATTTTTTTGAAAACCTAATATCCTATTTGCTTCGAGTTTCATTGGCAGCAATAGGGTATAACTGGTCTACTAGCAAATATAAACAGAAAGCATAGCACTTTGCAAGAACGTAATTAAAGCTTGACTCTTGTCAGGTGTTCGTTGGGACTGCATCCTCACAATGATGCTATTGTGGCCAATATTGTTGCATGGTATAGTAACTTAGCTCTTATTAATATTTTCATTGACACATAACCTTAAATATAAATGGAAATGTGTGGAACGTGGAGTATAAAGTATTTTACTACACAAGAAAGCTTGTCGTTTTTAACGCACATCTGACCGGGGCGGATTCATGGGTCAGGCTTGTGGGGGGGGGGGGGGGGGGGGGGGTAAGTTGTAATTTAGCTTGCGGGGGGCGGGGAAGGGAAAACCACATGACGACAGAAGGTCTACCATCTCTGGTTTGTGGACGTAGTATGTGTTATATCAACAAACACTGACCATTTCTTTTTGAAAAAGCTGGTGTGTGTCGATTTTTCATTCAAATATTTTGACCTTGGGGGTTTTGGGAAAGTGCAGTCCCCAACCTCCCCCCCCCCCCCCCACCCCACCCCCTTTCTCCTCTAAGTACGCCCATGCAACTGATAATGTTCAAGCTTACATTGCGGTAAAATAAACGAAATGCAATATAAGATATTTATATTTTTTCAAGAAATCACCTTATCGCTGGGTATTATTAAAAATATAGCATATAATTTTTTTTAAAATCGATTTTGAAATTCACGAGTCCTAAGAAGCGTTTGTTATTCAAATGTACGTAACTTATTTTATTTTGTACAGATAACATGAGCACTGCTTCATTTGAAAATATGTAGATTCGAGCTTTCTGGGGATGTCAAGGTCATTATAGTATCTTGAAAAAGTCACACAAAATCTTTCCAAACTTTATTGAAAATCGTAAAAAAAAAAGTTCGACATTTGAAAAAATATTCCAGATTAGAATATGTTTGTAGTCTCTAAGCCTCATAAAATCTATTTCAGATTGTCTGAGAAGATATGCAAATATATATATATATATATATTGCTGTCGTTTTTACACTTTCTTAAGATAAGGAATGCGCGACGGCCTGGAAAGGACGGTTTACAGGGGGGGATTATACATACATACATATATATATATATATATATATATATATATATATATATATATATATATATATATATACATATTTTTTTTAATTAAAATTTTACCCAACACGCTACCTCAATTTGCATGCAAACCTTCGATAATACTACTGCTACTAATAATAATAATAACGATAATAATATAAAGGATATAAATAATGCGATTCACGCGATAATGACCGATAATTAAACACAATTCCCCAAGCAGACAAGCCAACTATGGGCTTCTTTGAAAGTGTAATTGGGAACCTTACAACAAAAGCTGAGTTTTGGGGTCCTGGTGTTAGAAGTATGCTTAGAAAATAAATTCAATTGAAAAGTATCTAAAATAGTTTACAACGCCGAGCATTATTTGGCTATTGTCTCGAGGTAAAAAACAACACAAAGAATCGAGGTGATAGGATAATATGAAAAAAAAAAGAAATGCGTAGTTGCATTTGAGCTGTGAAAAAAGCTTTTTTTTATTTAAAGTATCAGTATACAGCAGCTTTATGTTCCAATCACCTCAACCACGAAAACGTAGCCATGAGTGTATTATTGCGCGTGCTCACTACTAATATCCAAAACTGCTCATTACAACCGCAACAAAATTAAGTTTGCCCGTCCCAAATCACTTCTTTTTTAAAACACATGTTTCTGTTGTTGTTTTTTTGTGTGTGTGGAGGGGTGTTACATGATACCTTGGCGGATCTGTTCTGGTGTAGACTTACCTCATCGTGTTTCTAAATAAGGAATCCTATCTCTATTGTTAGTTCGCAAACTCAATCTTGTTATATTTTAATGCTAGACACGGATGTCTCCAAAGGCGGCTGGACGCAGGTCGGCCTTGCCTTGTTCATCCGGGACTGGCTTTAAATACACATCATCATATCCTTGGAGGGACTTCTGTTTGCTGGTATCCATAAGAGCCGCCACAAAAAGTAACTTTGCTCGCATCCTACCTTTTTGTGTTCGTTTCTTTACGAAGTTTTAGAGCGCAGCTCTTAGAGGCCCGTTTCCGGCTTGAGTGGCGTCGGCGTCGGCGTCGGCGTCGCCGTCAGCGTAACCGCGAAATCACGTGACCCCCCGAGGTCACGTGACTCCATGAGGTCACGTGACCCACTCAGGTCACGTGACCCCCCAGGTCGCGTGACCCCCCGGGGTTACGTGACCCCCTCAGGTAACGTGTCCCCCCTCAGGTCACGTGACCCGCCTCAGATCACGTGACCCCCTGAGGCCACGTGACACCACTGAGGCCATGTAACCCCCTGAGGTCACGCGATCCCCTTGGGGACACGTGATCCCCCGAGTTCACGTGACCCCCTGAAGTAACGCGACCCACGAGGTCACGTGACCGCCCTGTCGTCACGCGAGCCCCCTTAGGTCATGTGACCTCGAGGAGTCACCTATCCCTCAGTACGCTTCCACCTTCCTCCTCAAGAGCTGCGCTCTAACCGGCGTTACAGGGAATTGTAAACAGCTTTCATTTTTTGTTTGGTTCCCTGATGTTTTAACTTATTCGTATACTCGTAGGTAACAAAACCAATCTTGTTTTATTTCAGTGCTGGAAGTCTTATCTGCTCGGCATCGTGCGCTAGGCGTACTAATAGCCAATGGGGGCTGGACGACGGGCCTTGTGACTCTGGTCGGCCTTGCCTGGTTTATCCGTGACTGGTTTTATATGCAGATAGCCATATCGTGTGCCTGTCTTCTGTTGGCCATCAACTGGTTGTAAGTCAAGCACCACATGAATCGAAAAGAGTGAATTGAAAATTAATATCTTGTTTACCTAGTTTGGGTAACGTTGCTTAGACAAAAGTCCACTCCTCTGTTTCCCCGAAATGCTCGTGAATTGCATTGTGGTATTAACCTAATTATTTCAATGAGTGACGGTACGTCAATTGCACCTGAAACTAAAAAAAATAGACATTCACTGGAAGAACGATTCGCGGGCTCACAATCCTAAATCCAAATCAAACACTTGAAGAATAAATCATGGAGTTATCATAATGTACACTACAGGTTCAACTGGCGCTAATGTCTATGCAACTTCCGGGATTCAAATCAAAGTACACAGCAACCAGTCTATTTTTGAGGCGCTCCTGTGCATTCTTATGTGAAAACGCGCGTGCATTTTATCTCTTCGCCAGAAAATACCATGGAACACAGTTTTTTTTTATTCGAGTCGTACCAAATAGTATGTACCTTTAATAACATTGTAGAAGTGCAATTGCTTTAATTAGAGCATTTTCTTTCTCAGTGGACGATTTAACTTTGTTATATTTAGGGCCGAAACCTCTGTTCCTCAGCAGGTGTGTAAAAACCAGCGGCGATTGTAAACAAAATAACAATTTACAAGAATATAGAGCGTGTTCAAGGCATGCCAGCATTCAGGTGACGACTATATATTGCTAATATGCCAGTCTTGTCATTAAACGAATATGACCACGCCTTGCAACTTTCATTCAAAACTAAAGGAGCAAGGTATGTGGGCTATGAAAGGTGTCTCCTTTTATTAGTTTTACTGTCGAACAGCATTTATCGGGCACTTGCTATCAAAACTTTCGAGCGTGCGAGTGGTGTTTTGAACATACAACAAGCATATTCGCAAAGAGCAGAAAGAATAAAGCCGTACTTACTTATTGAAAATCGGACTATATTACGTGGCCTTCAATTTATTTTGATCGTATATGCGCAGGGAGTTACAGATCCAGTGTTACTGCGTAGATCTTGCCGTCTCTCTTAGTTTTCCGGATGTCCTTCATTCGTTTGTAACGTATATGACCAATGCTTAAAATCGCCAACGTCGTTTTCGCCCTAACAGTATCCGACAGTGCACATAAATACATGCGCGAAGCCATTTTATCACTGTTTTAATGCAATTAATTTGAAAAAAAAACGCCTTAACTGACCAATTACGTTCTATCTAGTACGTACGAATTATTCGGGATATTATCTCTTATAATTGAGCGCAAAGAGAAAATGCACTCACTTTTCTCATAGAAATGCATTACCGCAATTCGCTGCAGCACAGTAGCGCCAGTTGAACCTCTAAGGGTATTTTATAATAACTCTATGGATTAAAACCATTCGACTTCCATAGAAAATAGCCGCGGGAAATAGGTTGCTGAGTTTACCCACACTAGTTAAAACACGAAATAAAAAAAAAAGGATGCCTCGACCGCCTTTGTAACGCCGAGGCGCACAGAATGTGTGTGTGCTCAGGATGCGTGCGTAATAGCTAGTTATGTTTGGTTACGGGGAGCTTTGAGTGGGTTTAGGACGCGTCACACGCATGACCCACCTATTTGCTTACCCACCGTGTGTATCGAAATTATCAGGACGAGTATAAAGTTAATCAATAGTGAAGTGTGCCAAGGGTTTGCTCTCACGAGAAGTTTTGACGGGTTTGGCAAATACTTCAGTAGGAAATGCATCTTATTCCGTGAAAATCCAATGGCCTCGGCACCAACAGCGTTTCCGTAAATGGAAAGGCTAGACGCGCATAGCCTCGAGGTTTACTTTTTAAACTGGGAGGGGCGGCGGCTGCCGCTCTTTATTGTTGGGTAAATCCGTTGAGAAAGCTGAAACTGCCGTCTCTGCATGAAGCTTTAGCGAATGCGGTGTCTCGGTTAGCCGGCGGCACCCCTTTCCTCAGCAAAGCTCGACAGCATCGATAGTTCAATGCGTTCTCTTAGACCTGGACATTCTAAACTGCTGAGAGATGATTTGGCGCTGAGGATGCGCTGTCTAATATAACCGAACAAAGTAGAATGTATTCTCCTAGTAAAATATTTGGCTCCTGGTTCCTTAGAGGCTGTTTCTAGCGACCTGTCTCCTTAGTGCTTTTTTGATTGAGAAGAGCCCCTGTGTAACTAAATTAATTTCGAGGGGAGAAGGTTGATCGCATATCCTAATTTATCATCTGGCTTCTGCCCTAGGTCGTGACTCTTTCAATTGCTGCTCTATTCGTTTTACGTACTAATCAACGTTAGCAGATTAGCTCAGTTACGAAGCTCCCCATAGACGCTGCTTCCACGGAACGCTTCCCGTCGTTGGACGCTAAACTGTTTTGAGAACGGCTGCAACTATAGCTGTAGTGTATTCTAAGGAATACATGTGTTTCGAAGCAGAGCGTCTAGGTGGCTTTTCACCGTGCTATATAAAACCCAGACTTTTGACCCGAAAAATCTAGATTGCGCTTTAAACGACGGGAAGCGGACTGAGGAGGGGCTGCAATGTAGTAACGTTACTAACAACCATCAATGACGTTCTCGGATCATGTGAGCAGAGGTCGGCATTTTAGGTCGCCCTCACTCACCCTCACCCTCACAGCCACACTCACCTAAGCCCCTCACTCACCCTCACCCTCACAGCTACACTCACCTTCAGCCCCTCACTCACCCTCACCCTCACAGTCACACTCATTTTCAGCCCTTCACTCACCCTCACTGAACCTCACGGCCCTCACGCACTCTCCGCCCTCACGGCCCTCACGCCCCTCACGGCCCTCACGCCCCTCACCGCCCTCACGGCCCTCACGCCCCTCACTCACTCATGGCCCTCACGCCACTCACCGCCCTCAGGGCCCTCACCGCCCTCATGGCCCTCACGGCCCTCACCGCCCTCACGGCCCTCATGCACTCATAGTCCTCACGCCACTCACCGCCCTCACGCCCATCACCGCCCTCACGCCACTCACCGCCCTCACGCCCCTCACCGCCCTTGCGGCCCTCACACTCCTCACGCCCCTCACGCACTCATGACCCTCACGCCACTCAGGCCAGCTTCAGGTGGGGCAATTTCGCCCAGAAACTTTACGTCGCAACGCCAGCAACACGGGCCGCCGGCGATCACACGCAGCAACCTATTGCTGCAATTTACCATCGTCATCATAAAAATTTTATTTTTCTTGCACTATTTAGACAGAATTACGCGTTATAAACGTGTTTTGATGCATTTAAACCTCGTTAAGAATACTAATGCACCTTTCTGAAACAGTTTATTTCCAAAAAACGATCGATTTCAGACCGGAACCAAGTCTTTCGGTGTCATCATCACCGGCACAAGGTATCACGTGAAAATGTTGCGTCCCTGATTGGATGCAGCCGCTTCAAACGTATTCGAATTGCTCCGAGTTGCTTGCCTATTTCGAGCCGGACCCGATCTCAGCAATTCGTGTCGATCTAGGGAAAGCTAGAGAGCCACCCGCCATTAACACCATGTAATGACTTGAGCCGAACACATCGCGGTCTTGGTTACGACTGGTAGGTTTTACTTTTCTGATTCAATAACAAACAGATAACAAGGTTGACAACCAAAACCCAAAGTCTGCTAAACATAGCTAAAACAGTGAAACTTGTCACTGCATTACATCCCTCCCCTCTTAGTAAGGAGCACAGTCTCGTTAGTTAATACACATAAGGTCCCAATCTGGAGACTGGTCGACGCAGTCTTGATGACCTTCGAGGAGGAGGACTTGTCGGCTGGTCATGGACCTCTGCATTTGGTGAAGGCACTTGTTCTGTTGGCTCTTGACGACAAGTGATGGGTGGTAGCTGAACAGCATTGTCCCGGCTCGTTGGGTTGATGCTCACGTCCAGCCAAGCCTTGCGCAGCTGGTCACGGTGGCGTCGATGAGTCTCGCCGTTCTCCTGCTGCACTTTGTACGAGACTGGGCCCATTATGGCAACCACCTTTGCTGCTTTCCATCGCGGGCCAGGGATGAAACTTCTCATGTAGACTGCATCTCCTAGTTGGAACTTCTTCACCTTTAGGTCTGGTCTCTCCTGTTCTCTAATCCGATCCGGATGAAGCCTGTCCAGTGGCGAACGCAACTTCCGTCCTATCATGAGCTCAGCTGGAGTCTTGCCGGTCACCGAGTGGGGGGTGGTGTGCTATTTGAACAGAAATCGCGAGATTCTGCACTGGGTATCTCCTTCCGACTGCTTCTTGAGTGTCGCCTTCACCTCCCTCACCATCCGCTCTACCCTGCCCTTGCTTGCAGGGTGGTATGGAGCTGTGTGCATAAAGCGGACAGCATTGAGCTTGAGGAAGTCCTGCATCTCTCGGCTGGTGAATGCAGTTCCATTATCGGACACAATGACGTCCGGCAACCCATGTGTTGCAAAACACTTGCGCAGGCTCCTGATTACGGCAGTAGAGGTCATCGATGGCATGATTTCTACTTCCACCCAGTTGGAATATGCATCAACGATCACCAAGAAGACCTCGCCCTTAACTGGACCTGCGAAGTCGACGTGCGACCTGCTCCAGGGCTGCTCTGGTTTAATCCAGAAATGTACTGGTGCCTTGGGGTCGCTTTGACGGTTGGCTTGGCACTTGTCGCAGTAGCGCACTAACTCCTCTATCTCCTCATCGAGTTTCGGCCACCAGATTAGGCTACGATCCATTGCCTTCATTGCCGTCATTCCAGGATGATTTGCGTGCAAGAGCTGTAGGACTTGGCTCCTTGCCGCCTTGGGGATCACGACACGGTTACCCCATAACAAACAGTCTCGATGCACTGACAATTCTGTTTGCCTCACTTCGAATGGTGCGAAATCTCCACCAGAACTGTCATCGTGCCATCCGCTGAGCACCCACTGCTTCACTCTTGAGAGCACGGTGACCTTTCCGGTCAAGGCCGCAATGTCAGTAGCCAGAAGTGGAGGGTACTGGACGGCTTCAAGCAACAGGATGTCACCGGGTGGTGCTGGTTCGTCAACATCTCCAGGCAGTGGCAGCCGGTTTAGACCATCCGCGTTAGAGTTGTCTTGAGCCTTCCGGTACTTGATCTGGTAGTTGTACGCACTCAGCAGGAGTGTCCACCGTAGCATTCGAGGTGACAGGACCTCAGGCATGCGCTTGTCTGTGCCAAACAATCCCAGTAGCGGCTTATGATCTGTTATGGTCGTAAAACTTCTTCCTGCCAGATACTGGTGAAAGTGTCTAACCCCGTAGACAACGGCAAGACTTTCTCGGTCGATTTGTGCATAATTTCGCTCGCTCTTGCCAAGAGTACGTGAGGCATATGCGATAGGAAGCTCATTCCCGTCGTCGTCTTGGTGTGCCAACACTGCTCCAACCCCCACTGGTGAGGCGCCACAGCATAGCACCAGAGGACGACTGGTGTCGTACTTCACCAGAAGAGACTCAGAAGTCAGCAGTTTCTTGAGGCTCTCAAAAGTGTTCTGGTGTTCCCTTGTCCAGGTCCACTTACGCCCGTCGTCTAGCAGGCGATGCAAAATCTCTGCAACCTCTGCCTTCCCCTCCAGGAATCGACTGTAGAAGTTCACCATGCCTAAGAAGGCCTGTAGTTCTTTTTTGTTAGTTGGAGCTGGAGCGCTGTGGATTGCTGCAACCTTGCTGGCACTTGGGTGAATCCCCGAAGCATCGATCTTCTGTCCAAGGTACTCTATGCTTGTCTTGCCAAACTGGCACTTGTCCTTGTTGACCCTCAGTCTGGCGTCTTGTAACCGTCGCAACACAGCCTCCACACACTCGTTGTGCTCTTGTTTTGTTTTTCCCGAGATGATGATATCATCCAGGTACGCCACAACACCAGGGATTCCAGAGATCAGACTGTCGACGACACGCTGAAACAGTCCCGGCGCTGCCGAAACACCGAAAGGCAGTCGTCGGACTTTGTAAAGTCCTTTCAAGGTGTTGATTGTGAGGAGCTCTGCAGACTTATCGTCCAGCGTCAGCTGCTGGTAGGCCTGCGCGAGGTCGAGTTTTGTGAAAATGCAGCTGGTGCCTATTGCTGCAAACACTTCGGTGGTGGTGGGTAGAGGGTAAACATTGCTTTTCACGGCCTTGTTCACCGTACTTCGATAATCCCCACACAGTCTCAGGGACCCGTCTTTTTTTCTTACCACTACCAGTGGCGTCGCCCAGCTGGCATACTGGGTAGGCTCCAAGATGCCTTGCTTCTGGAGGTGGTCCAGCTCGTTGTTGACGTCTTCACGAAGGGCAAATGGCACTGGACGACACTAGAGGAACTTTAGCTCAGCGGTGTCTTTCAGTTCAATGTGAAGGGGTGCTCCTGTGAATCCTGGCAAGTCGCTGCCGAAAATCTCCTGAAAAGCTTCCGTTAGGTCCTCTTCGGAGCTGCTGAGCTTTTGGATGCCTTGCACTCCAATCCCCAATGCTGGAAACCAGTTCCTGCCCAGCAAACTGTTTGCTTGCCTTCCGACCACTAGCAACGGTAATGTTGCAACGTGATCTCTGAACATGACGTCCACCATCGCTTTACCGAGGGTCGGCAGCGTTTCACTGGACCATATGACCAGCTTGGTGCTCGATTCCACGATAGGGATCTTTTTTCTTGAGCTTGCTTCAATTTTCCTGAACGTGTCTTCGCTGACTATCGAACAGGATGCACCAGAGTCCACTTCCATAGTGACTTGCTCATTTGCAATGAAAACTTCGACCATGTACTTCTTTGGTGCCTCGGTTAGCTCGCAGATGGAGAATAACTCATCCACTTCGTGCACCTGTTTTGCGTTTCCACGCTTGCTTTCCGTCGCTGGCTTCACCGCCTGTTTTTTCGAACGACACGCTGCCGCGATGTGCCCTAGCTTCTGACACTTATAACATGTCGAAGTCTTAAACTTGCATGAAGTTGGAGGATGCTTACCGTTACAACGGTAGCAACTCTCTTTCTTTTCGTGAGGCGAGCTCTTCTCTGCGGTTGCATGCACGCTGGCGTCCCCGTCCGCGACCGTCTTTCGATCCTCGTTGATGTCCTTCAGCTGCCTTGCTGCGGCTTCCGCCGTGAGCGCCAAGTCATACGCCGCGTCGAACGTCAACACACAAAACGATCACGGAGCGTTTGTCCTGTGTGCTTCTTCGTCTTTTTGTCCCGTCTCTTTTGCGCTATTTTTAATATGAACGATCACGGAGCATGACATCGAGCGGCAACTGTTTGTCCCCGAACTCACAGTCGCCCGCTAGCTTGCGGAGAGCTGTCACGTAATCAGCGATGCTTTCCCCCGCCGCTTGATTCCGTTTGTAAAACTTGAATCTTGCGTAGAGCTCGGAAGGCCGCGAGTGCATGTGCGACTTCACTGCTGCCACAATGTCTGCATAGTTCGCTGTCGTCGGACGACTAGGCTTTACCAGCGTAACTATGAGCGAGTACGTTTCGGCGCCGCAGCAACTGCATAAAACCGCGCGCTTTTGTTCTTCGCTAGCCAGCTTGTGACACACGCAGTACATCTCCAACCTTTCGACATACCCTTCCCATGCGCTCCCTGTTCCGAGCTGGTATTCTCCGATGCCGTTGGTTGTCATACTGCCGCCGCTGTGGCCGCTTCTGCCCGCCGTGGTGTTTCTTTGTTCTCTAACGGACGTCGCCGTTTAGGCTTAGTTTCTCGTCGCCAACTGTAATGACTTGAGCCAAACACATCGCGGTCTTGGTTACGACTGGTAGGTTTTACTTTTCTGATCCAATAACAAACACATAACAAGGTTGACAACCAAAACCCAAAGTCTGCTAAACATAGCGAAAACAGTGAAACTTGTCACTACATTACACACCAAACTTGCTGAGAAAGATGCTCGATCTGAAGGGGGCCTCACGCACTCACCGCCCTCACGGCCCTCACGCCCCTCACGGCCCTCACGCGCCTCACCGCCCTCAAGGCCCTCACGCCCCTCACTCACTGGCTACGTTTCCATGGATGCGACCATGGCGCATCGGATCGAGATGTGACCAGTCACGCGCCCGCGATCCTCCTTTCCCTTCCTCGTCTACCCAATCATAGGCGGTTAATCTCGATTCGATTCGCTACGATCGCATCCATGTAAACTCAGCCACTCATGGCCCTCACGCCACTCACCGCCCTCACCGCCCTCACGGCCCTCACGGCCCTCACGGCCCTCACTCGCCCTCACACTCATGAATTTTCCTGGTTCAGAAACTCACTCACCCTCACCTCGCCTGTGAAGATGAGGGTGAGTGGGGGTGACTGAGGGCCCTCATGAGTGAGGTTTGCCGAGGTATGCATGTCAGGAGCTAGGCTTTGTCATTTGCGAACCACATGCGCGCGTTAAGGGTTGACTGTTTATACGGTATCCCGTAATATATACTTGGTCCTGCTCTTTGCGTACTATTTAACGTCCGCTCGTTGCGCCGAGAAAGGGCGTCGGACAGCACATTGCACTGTGTGGGGTTAAATTCTCTCTTAACCGCTTTGTAAATTTTGCCTGTGAAAATGGTTTACACCTAATTATGAGTAAGTATAAATAATTATGGCTAAGCATGCCTTCTCTTTGGATGCTTATACAGTGCACACTATGGGATGTTCAAGCTTTGTTTCCATGACCTGTGTGTAATGCTTTTTGTCCCACTCGAGAGTGACAGTTATCGAATGAAATCTAGCCCATAGCCCTATGTTGAGTTAAAACAAGACAGCATTCACACATTACTAAAATCTAGTTCTCGAGAAAGTAATCAACTTCATTAAAAAGATAAAAAAACATCGTTATAACAGCATTCTAGCAGAGAACCCAAAAATTCATACCTTGCCATTCATTGAAAAATAGCCGCCAACGACGCTAATCCTCAGCGTAACCTACTGTTTTGGTGCTGTAAATTTAGACTGGGAAGACAATATTCTAATTGCTCAAAAATAAATTACATTTGTTAAAAAAGTACATTTGGTAATACGATTCGTTTGAAAAATAATTCAAATTACGTAAATCCGGAAAGACTGGGTCGTAGCACATTCCGTACCCCAAAAATCAAAAGCAAATAGCATTTTTTTTATTGAAAGGGTCGATGCTTATCAAGTGATGTTACATTACTAGTTCCAATTACGTTCTTCCGAATAATCAATATTGAAGTGAGTGTTTTTGTTTCAAAGTAATTGGGAAATAAGTATACTTTAGGAATGCGGACAGAGCAATGAGCTTAGTGACAGATTGGTTTATTATTTTACATTTTCTTAACAATCCTCCTCTTTCTAAATATAAATTTCAAATATAGGGCTGTCTTTCATGCTTCTGTTGCACACTCCGACCGCTCCGTCTCCGGTATTATAAATACACGTAAACTGTTATGTCCTGCAAATAATTTATTTGTTATAAATAGGCAGAGTCAGGGCATATATCAGCCTGTCTGAATAAGTGTTCAACTACTTAGCTCCCAGATTTGTTTCACAGATTTTTGCCCGAGTCTCCTCGCTGGCTTCTTGCGACGAAAAAATACGACGAGGCAGAAAGAGAGCTTAACGATGCTGTAAAGAAGAACAAGATCAAAGACATCGAAGTAGAAGCTATCATCAAGGACTTCAAAGGAAAATTAACAGAGGTATGGTTTAGCTCACCCTGCAAATATTTCCATAGTCTGCTTTACTTTGTTGCACCTTAGGTCTAGACCCAGCCGACGTTACAAACTGATGGGACCACTGAGACAGCGTCAAAAGTGCACCATCTTGGTGTTCGTCGTGTTTGTTAACTGTTCTATCATCGCTGGACCGATCTTTTACTAAAAAAAGCTGCTTGACTGGTTTCATTAACTCGTGCCTCAGCTTAGTATACCACGTATAGTTTTAGCATGACAGACGTGTGCTCGATGCACTTTTTTATTTTTTATTACCTTAAAATGTTTCTTTTCGCATTAGCAGTATTTTTGGGGATGATCGCTCTTTACAAAGACGGTGTTGATATTCTGAGAATTTGAAATGCTTGGCAACAGCAGGGGGTTCTGTACTTCATTAGCCTTTTTAAATGATTTTGAAATAATGACGATAATAAACTCGCTTTGTAATAATGACCATATTTTTAAAACCGTCCTTAAACATAGGCATAGCTTTGGCGACAAAGTGGCTTTCGGAAAAATACCGGAAGAAAGCGATACAATAAACATACACCTTAACGCCGACGCAATTATTTTAAAAGACGTACTTAAATACTTTGACACTAAATTCACTATATCCTAGAGTTTTACTATTTTTACGATTTGCATGGTGGTTATTTAACCCGACGTATCGGAGGCACAAAAAGATATTTATGAAATGGTGTTTATTGTAGTCTCGCGGACGAAGTACGTACCGCAACACTTCAATAATGTTTGCTACGCTGGGTCAATAAAGATTAAAAATATTTCATATAGAACACCCCGATGGTAAAACATCGTAACAAGTTACTTTTCGTAAGGTGCGATGCTCGGTTTGTACGAATCGCAATATTAATTCTTTTCCACGCTTTGCTTGTGTCTCTCTCATTGTTTTTCTTTACAATATTTAATTAATAATCTGATTTGCACGTATTACTAAAATTTTACGAATTTGCAAAGAGAAGTTCAAAGTCTCCGGATCATCAGTGGAATTTAATGTTAAAAAAATTAAAATTATATTTAGTGGGTAAATCTTTGAAGTCACTGCGTGCAAGGTTTGCTGCTTCACGCGGGTCTCTCAACTTCAAGATATTTAGAGTCTATTATCTCAAACTAGGTCAGCTCGTCAAGAGCGGGTTTCACGTGTCTTTTATCGTATATAGAAAACCACAAGCAGTGTTAAAGTTCATCTAGTTATGGGGATTATGAGAACTATCTAATGTGTGATTTTGATTTAACCAGCAATTTAGAGTACCGAGAATATGCCTGTCTTAATTACTGGGACGCGGATCTTCAAACGCTGAAAAACATGTGCCACAATGCTTTGAAACAATGAATACAGCCAACACAAACGACGACTACAGCAAAAAAGAAAACACATAGCACAGACATTCAGCTCATATGTGTATTTTCAAGTCCACGGCAAGGAAGGCACCTTATAAACGATATCGTACGACGATGAAGATGATGGCAGGAAGCTATACCGCGTGACCACGGAGCTACGTTTCGAGCCATGAACATGAATGCCTTGAGGGTGGCTGCGACCCACTTGGTTCGGGCCACCTCTTGCTGCTCGGTGACTTCACCGAAGTGAGTGACCGCACCACTAGACCGACCAGACTGCCAAGGCGTTACAATCGAAAACTTTCATCGAACAGCCCGCAAGGTCGCCTTTCCGCGCTGGCGAAACCCCCTGAGCCGTCCGCAAACTTCCGAAATTTAGGCAGCGGTTTTTGCGAGGATCAAGAGACGTCGTTTTGCTATTTTATATTAGATCGGCAAATATCCACCCTGATCTAGACGCGTCACCGCGAACCTCCATGGTACCGGCTGTTACTTCTCCGTAATTCTGCGGCTCTCGCGAGCCCATAGCATTATTATTTTTATCATCGTTATCAAAATTATAATAATCGTCATATTCATCATAATTATCGTCCTCATCATTATCATCCTTATCATTATTCTTATTATTATTTTTATTATTATTTGTATTAGGATATAGAAGTCCCCGAGAGCAGTCGTTCTTTTAGTTTATTAATATTAGAAGGTAGAATAGATAGAAGAAGTACCTGAGAGCAGTCAATCTTTTCGACTTCTCTTCATATTTTTATTACTTATTCGTTATGTTTCAAGCTCATCTACAGCCTTCGAGCAGTCCGCTACACAAGTCAAGTCCTGGCGTCATCACGACCAGGTCACTATCGTCATTCATCGGCCGCTTGCTTCGGGCGAGCTTTTGCAGCATAACCGTAACTTACCTCTCTGGCATCCATCACCAGCTCCACGCCACCTTTCAGGGTACGAAGTACTAGAGTGGACCCAACACCACAGGACGACTTGCGTGTCAAAGAAGCACGGTATTTTTTTTTTCTGCTTGCTTTCCCCATTCCCCCAGTCTTCTCAATCTCCATCAAAGTATGCTAAATGCCACGAGAAGATTGTGAGCGATGGTCGCCATAAGTCCTGCGCCGACTTCGAAAATTCGCTTCACCTGGAGAAGATGTACTGTGGTGCTGCGGAAAGCACCTTCAAAACGATGGGTGCTGGTAAATGGGAGATTTGGCGCTTCCGTCTTTGCCGACAGCAAAGTATTGTGGCTGATTCCCAAAATGTGTCACAGTGTTAATCTCCGTTGAGTGGTGACCACTCTCGATCACTTGAATGTAGGCTGGGATGCCTTATTTTACACAAGACAAACGTTGAGTCCCTCCTTGATCCACCACGCAAGTTCGATCAGCTCTTGACCTTAAAGCCCGGTGGTTGAGAACCTCAAATCCACCGTAACGGAGGTTCAGAATTTCATTGGCCTTCTGTCAGATAGGTCTGAAACTATCCAACATCTCCAAAAGAAGCTCAATGACAGCCAAAAGTTCATTTGTCTCTGCGATCTAGAGATTCGAGGGCCTTTGTCTTAAAAACAAAATGGCGCAGAAATTAGGCGTAGCAAATTAGAACGTGAGAAAAAATTTGCACAATTTTCAAATGTACCATTAAGTAAGAAAACACACAAGGCGTAAGATCGCAAGTGAGCTGGAAGAGGTGAAACATGGTGAAAAAAACGCGACCGTCCTGCAATCCGAAGACAACGTAAACGCATGCACACTCCGTGCAACGCGACCGGCGCGTCGCCGCGCGGCCGTTACTGAAGGTAGGCATTGAGAACCCCAGCGAAACGAAACCACGCAACGTACATCGGCACGCACTGAAGTCGGAGCGGTGCGGTCGTGCTGGGTTTGCAGCATGAACTGCGGCGTCACTAAGTACTCCAATATTTATGCGTCGTATCTTGTGGAGACAAAGCTTCACAGTTTTTCAACTCGTCGATGTTTTGTGGGACAGCGACAACGTTAGACCAGTGCCGTACGAAGCGAGAAATCGGGTCTCCCAATCGTGTCTGACACTGTGTCAGCACGTGGACATATCCTACACTGCCGCGTTGCGCTCTGCGTTTGTTTTCGTACCAGTAGCACCTACATATGTTAGCGCCGATGAGACGGACTGAAATGCCATCCCACACTTGTGGGTATGCAGTGCCAATTTCGTTGGATAAATGCCCTTCAAAAACGTTTTGTCCCCATCGTACGCGTCGATGATACTTCTGGACCATTATGGCACGCAGTCTGTACTTCATGAAGAATGATTCGAACTGTCCAAGAAGTCAGAAATATGAATGTAAGGAAAACTACAATAAAACTTGGAATTACTGGACAATCGGCGTTTGAGCGTGGAAGTTTGTGTGATGTGCTTCCTTTTTTTTATCTGCCTTCTTTTCGATGTGGAATCGCCGACTCCCCGAGTCCTGTAGACAACAGTTCTTTTTCTCAGGTTTGAAGTCACCTATCGCGAAGTTGTTCGAGCTGGAAGTACCGTTCCACTGGTCGTTTCAAACCTGTAAAATGGGCACCTCCGGGGACGAGTGGTATTCTCTTGACAACCTTTGACGGTTAAAACCGGTTTCCATTCAGTTACGCCGCCCAAACTAAATTTCCACCTGGTTTCGCTGTGCTACCTTTTTTTTTTTTTTCGTATCATAAGTGTTGTATCAAGTTCCGGTCACCTGTGTGCCGAAAATCGGCAACTCGCACAACTAGGTTGCTATACAACAGCTGACCGCAAAATCATTTGGCGTCCAAACCGTGTGTTGGCCGACAACATTGTTTTCTCGGCTTTAGAACCATTTATTGTAAAGTTGTTTCAATTGGAAGTACAGTCCCACTAGTCCTTTCCTACCTGTAAAGTCTCCACTTCCCACGACAAGTGGTATTCTCTTGACAACCTTCTCACAGTCAAAACCTGTTCCCATTTAGGTACGCTTCCCAAACCAAATTTCCACCTCGTTTCCCTACGTGACCTATTTTCGGTATAGCAAGTGTTCTGTCAAGTTACGGTCATGTCCAAGAACCTGAGTCCAAATCTGCACTTCGTACAGCCCGGTTATAACACAACATTTTGGGTCCCATATTGGGCATCCCGTGCAGCTTTATTCCTTTATTCGTTCGAAACCTAACTTTCACACCTACTGTCTTAATGAAACTTGGCACACTTAGTGCACAAGCTTAGTGAACATCTCACTCGCCTCCAAATATCATCGTCCAAGCAGTCCTATTGTCCTAGCGATGAGCGAAAAAATTTCCCACTGAGATGAACACATTTTTCTTTAGTGAACATCACCATTAGCCTCCAAATATCATCATCCCAGCAGTGCTACATTGACAGCGATGCGCGAAACATATTTCCCACTAAGAGCAATTATGGTGGTGGCCATCTTGCTTTCTAGAGAATTGCTGACACCCTTTTTTCTATGGCAACTAGAGAAATTACTCATATTAACGACTCAAACTCAATATACAAGAAGCAGAGAACAGCTAGATGCCGATCTTAGGTCTGCCCCAACACTCATGCAACTTCACCCTGAGCGTATCGGCTGAAAAAGCAATAGTTCCGTCCGTGTGCGCTTCTGCCGCCATAGCTTGGCATCCAAAAAGGTACAGCAGGCTGCTGAACGCGCCTCCCTGTCGAACGCCAGCTCCTCCACTAGAGGCGCTACACGCGTTTTTCAAAGCGCCCCCTATAGTTACCGCACGGAGCGTATAGGTCTCAAGTAAAGAGCTGTGTATCAGAGACCTATTTGCGCTTGAATGGCCTCCAGGTGGGCCATATGCTTTGATGTGGATAGTTGTCAAGGACATTGCGGTAATGCCTGGCTTCTTCGGCCTTTTGCAATTTCCGCGGAGTAAATTCCTTCATGGCTCTCGCATCTTCTACGCACTTTTACGCAGGTTTAAATTCCTGCACAAGTTTTATCGTACGTTTTCTTTTTCCTTTTTTTTTTTGTTAAAGCAATTTCGCATTAACTGTGTTATTTTAATGCTTTTATTGAAGCTACGAGACGCTTAGGAAGAACTTCGGTGATTATAGATGCCTGCAGCAGCCGAACTTCAATTTTGTGCTAAGGCACCGGATTGGGCACATTAAAAGGCGGTTCACGTATATGTGTCCGAGTGCAATGTGTTCCGTTGAAAAATTGTCGATCGAAGGTGAGACAGAATAAGAACACCCTAACAGTGCTTCCGGCTCACAAATAATAAACTAAATCCACGTCAAACATGGTGGCACATGGCAACTGCACTGGAAGGGGTGGTCTTCAGGTGATACCGATACCTTCTTCAACTCTTGCCGTGGTTATACCGTATCAAGCTTGAACTTTCCTATCCAAGATTTTAAGCGGCTTCACTGAAAAGAGAGAGAGAGAAAAAAAAAACTCCCCTTTTTGAACACGTAATTACTCGGACGAGCAACGCAGAGGGGAGTAGGAAAGCGCGAGACTTCTGATTGGCCCGCCCGGACCAATGAAAAGACTTTTGATTGGTCGGCCCAAACTCTCTGTATGATAGTCAGCGCTGAAAAGTCTGTAACTGTCCTGCTGCAACTTTTCTAAGGTGATTTGTTACGTGTTGCGGAAGGGCAAAATGTGTCCCGTTGCTAGGGACGCACTTCTACAAGACACCACAATCATGCCGCTCTGCACTCGAACACCGTGAGACATCAATATCTGAAGGGTACTTAATTCCTCACATATCTTTTTTCAACGTTGATGATATATCAACTTGCGTCAATGGTGAAATCAGGTTGGATAAGACAACTTGGGCATCATTATTCTGTACGCCAAATGTCAGTGACACGCGACATCCTATAGTAACTTTCAAACGTCAAAAAAAATTAAAAAAAAAGGACAGAACAGCGAAGAGTTTGTTGTTCTGTCCGTTTTTCTCATTGTTCCTACATCTCAGGGTTACTATGGATGTGATTCACTAGCTCGGCTGCGTTTTGACCCTCCTTCACGCATGGCATATAGTCTACGTCTGATTGCTAACAGCCGCCAACTGGGTGTCACTTTATCCTGTTTTCTGGCTCAGAACCATAAGGACCATACACTTTTATTAAAGGGGCACTGACAGATCAAGATCATTGTTTTTATCATCCGAAACGATTGAAAGCGATGCCGGGACATTACCCTCAAAATTCAAAACTTTTGAATTCAGTATTTCTGAATTTAAATAAAAAACAATTTCCAAATGCCGAATACGAAGTTCCCACGTGTTCCGCGCCACTGCAGTGAGTCAAATTCTGCGGTCTCCTGCGACTCGACTTTTTTTGGGAACTCCGCCGTTGCCACCGCGACCTGAAGCGAGGAGGAGGTGACCAGGCGGGATAGAAGAGCGCCGGCAAGGGAAAAACAGAAACGGTTTCTTCCCCGACTTGCCGATAAGCCTCTGCTCGAGCGCCGCCAAGTCTTCCGAGGGAGGATACAAATCCAGGAAGCAACATCACATCGAAATCTGATTTTTGGTATTTCAAAAAGAGGGGCCGTCGTGCGTTCGCAATTGCATTAAAAATATGTGTTACGATTGGCGTTAATAAATTTTATAGAAATGTCACCTACAAAGCTTCTGAATTTCCTGATTTTTGACGTCACCGATCAAAATAAGCAAGGAGGTGAGCGCGGGAAATATAAACGCCAAAAATAAAAAGGCGCGCGCGCGCGCGGGAAGCTTTTTTTTAGCGATGCGGTGTTTTTTTTGTGTGTCTATAATAATAATAATAATACATTTATTGTATGGAGCATAGCAATGTTCGCTTGACGGGCGTATCAAAGCCACAACAAGGCTTGTGGGATGCTACCCTAAAATTAACACTTTAAACATTGCTACCCGGTACACAAAAAGGAAATAAGACAGATTGACATACACACGTCCTTAGAATGTCCCTAAGCCATAGTCAGCAGTTGGGTGCATGCAACACACAGGATCACACCTCCAAATACTGATGCAAGTACTATAAGTTGCATACTTTTAAACGATAAAAAATAATACAACCTTTGGGGTGTCAATGCCCCTTTAAAGCTTTTCTTTATATGTTAAAAAATAAACAAAGGTCGAAAACTATGTAGTGCAATACTTCCTTTGGTATTTTTAGAAATTGCTCTTTTTAGCATGGTAGCTTTAAATACATACCTTTCAAAAAAGGAAGATATCAGCTATCTGATAAATATCTGGCAACTAACTTCAGATATTTGATAATATCAGATATCAGATGTATCTGATACAAATATATAGATGTTGGTCCGTTGTCTGATAAATAAATGGGCTCCGACATCCGGAAAAAAATGTTCTTCGAAGAGAAAATCGTTTGCAGATTCCCACCCTAAAAGCCAGTTCGACTGTCTTTACTGGAGGTCAGGCACGTTAGATCAAGTACGTGTTGTCATAGAAACAGTTTAGTACAAATAAATCGAATAACCACACAGTGGCAAAAATCAGAAGTGTTAGCAGTTTCGCCTACCAGAATTTTCGCTCGGATTATATTCTGCTTTAGCAAGAGCACATGCCAGATCTTAACATGTCTCGTTGTTTCAAATTGCAATACCACTATACTCAACGTAGATATTTTTAATCTCTGAAATATTTTTATCTTTTTTTCACATTATTTACTTTGGTTTTTGACATAATTTCAGGAGAAGACGTCAACAAAACCAACGTTCATTGAGCTCTTTAGGATTCCTTGCATCCGCTGGACAACAGTGAATATGTCTGTAATAGGGTAAGAAAACACAGCAACTTTGCGTCATTTTTTATGACTCACATGTGTTTACACGTTGTTAAAATATAGTTCAAATGACTCAAGTGACCTTGCTGTGTGAGAACCACGACACAAATACTTATAATATTCTTTAGAAAAATGTTATAAAAGCACAACTGAGAAGAAACCGGTAGAGAAACGTGGTGCATAATAAGCTTGGAAACTGTCTAAACTACACAGCGTAATTAATCTCAAACAGGAACGCAGTAATATTTATTGCTCTAAATCTTTTTTTTTTTAAATCAGACGTCAGTGTTGTTGTATGTTTTAGAATCCTCGCCGCATTTTCGTTACTATGTAAAAGTGAATTACCGATGAGTAGGGCAATGTTGAGTAAAATTTATGGTCAAAACCTACAAGTCTTTGGAAGAATGCCGTATGTCTAGCGGAACAGTCTCTGATGCATTTAATGGCGGAGACCAGATGCAGGCTCAAAAAAATCTTTCAGAAATATATAATCATATTTAATATAGGATATATTTTACAACACTCTGAAAGCAATTAAAATCTGGTTCTTATAAAAACAAAGCATTGTCACAGAAAACTGTTTTAAACAGCAATTTCATTTAGGCTACATAAATACTCTCCGTTTGAGAAGTAGACTCTAAAATACGCTACTAAAATAAATGGAGCTCCAGAGATCTCAAACTATGTCCTTCCGTGTTTATATTGTAGATAAACCTAAAACAAGTTTATGAAAGAAAAATCTACAAAGAGGTCGCTCAAACCCTGCATGTCAGTTACAGATATGTGTACTTTTTTATTAAGCGTGTATCTACTTGAGCACTGTCTAATCAAAAACTTATTCTTTCTGGTGGTATTAGCTTAATAAAAACATTTTTGTTCAACCTATGGAATTTTGTTTCCAGCACAACCTCCTCTGAGAGTATACTATCTTTTCCCAATGCCCATGTTATAAGCACAGTGCGCCGCAATATGAAAGACCCACTGGAAGCGCGTGGCCGAGGCGGTGGCTGGCTTGGGCGTTGCGAGCGCTCCGAGCAGTTCCATTCTGCTTCGAGGGGAGGACGCTCACTCGAGGCTCAGCTAAAGCGCAAAGCGCTTATAAGTTTCTGCTGAGCCCAGAGTGAGCGTCCTCCCCTCGAAGCAGAATGGAATTGCCCGCAACGCCTCGCAGCGCCCCCGCCAGCCACCGCCTCGGCCACGCGCTCCCAGTGGGTCTTTCATATCGTGGCGCACTGTACATTCGACAGTCCTTAAGCTGTAAGGCTTAAGGCTGAAGCCCCTATCAGGACTTGATTTGCCAGTCCTTTGAATGATATCTGGCTAAATACCTTTCGGAATGCTTGTGCGGTGAGGGTTTTAATGTAAACATCAGCTCTTATTTATGTCTCATTCATTACGTTTGCCGTTTATTACAGATTTCTGAAAACATGGATCTACTACAACTTGACATACTCAAGCGTTTTACTTGGTAGCAATCCATACACAAGCTTTGCCCTTGTTGCTGCCATAGAGTACCCAGTGAGGTTGGTGGCGGTGCTATTTATCAACTACGTCAGAAGGCGACCGTCCTACATTGTCCTCTACGCGTTTGCCGGGCTGTGCTCGACAGTCAGCATATTCCTTCCTAAGAGTAAGTTTACTGATGATATATTCTTTCACTGAAGCCTCGATTTCGTTGAAGTGCCAGGTGGTTAGCCCATGTTCACCACATTTTTTCCCGCAAAATTATGATACATGTTTTATAGGACACATTAGCTTTACTTCTAGTTGCATGGACCTTTCGCAAAAATTGCGCTCCATGCAGTAGCGCGTTTATTATGTGAAGAAAAAAAGCGAATAGAGCAATTTGACATTCACATCGCGTCTGCAGAGAAATACTGGCTAGATTTCACTCATTACCAAGCTTACACACACACAAAAAAAGAAAAACAATCGCGCGTGTTTGTGTCTTTATCGCATACGAAGAGTAAGGAACAAATATCTGAATGCAAGACTAAAACATTACAAAGCCTATACCACACAGATTTTTCACTAACAACACATACATTAATGCTCTAATCATGTGAGGGACCGTCCTCAGTGGACAAAACAGGACGCATTTTTTATCAAAACTGTTTTGGAACCTGAATTACCAGCCTTCCGCGTGTTCCAGAATTTCCGTCCTAATTGAATTTTATATGACCCCGCGAAATATGCTTCGCGCAACAGTCGCATCATAAAGGTCTCGCAAATTACACAAATAAAAAGCGAATCATCTTAACATTTATGTTAAAATTGTATTATCACCTAATTGTACCTAAAATTAAGTTATATCGAGGCTGCAAAAGGAATCTGCGAATATTCCGGATAACCTGACAGTTGTTTAACGCGTAGCTTTGAGCTTTGGAAGCGTGACCGAATGATTCAATGTGTGCAGGAATGTGGTGGCTACAGCTTTGCTTCACCATGCTCACCAAACTTGGAAGTTCCTGCGCGTATTCGGTGAATTTTGTCCATATGTCGGAGCTGTACCCCACCAAGCTTCGGACTCTGGCAATGGGCTTCACCATCACGCTCGGTCGACTTGGAGCCATCATTGCGCCCTTTACCAAGGAACTGGTATGAATATTATCACGAATGACAAGGTGACAAAACAACGAAATAACTGAGAAAACTGAAACGTTTAGTGGGGCGAACTTGTGCCCAGTAATAAAAGGCAAAAGAAAATAACAACAGAGCGTCGCGGGCGTCGAAAGCGGCGAAGCAGCAGGATCGAACGCTGAGGCGAAAACTCAGTCCGGTTCGCCACGTGGTGTCCCTTATGTACATGCGTGAGCTTCTGGAATAATCGGCGTAGATATTCGACGCGTAGAACATTCGGACCTCTAATACGCACATTATTCTCGAATCTACCGGAAAACTAAATTGCAGGAATAACAAAAGATGCGGCGCTCCCAGGAATCGAGCCCTGGCTTTTCCATTAGGCCACGCGGCGCTCCCAGGACCCTGGCGATAACCATTAGGCCACGCGCGCGCTGCCTGCTTGGCCAGCTGCGCGCGCGACAATATATGAACACTTGCAAACATCGTCTTAGACGATAACAGCACGATAACCTCAGGGTGCAACGAGTCCCGTATAACTTATTATTGCACCGCCTCTAATGAGATTGCGAGCTCAGTTAATAAAAATGGAAAAAAAATAATGAATCTAAAATTGGTCGCATACTCGGTCATTCCGCCGAGCGCGATTAAGTGCGGTAGGTTTATAAGGTGGGTGATGGTCTTAGGTCGGGTGATCCTTCGGGTGCGATGACCCTTAGTCATTCATTGTTTGGGTGGGTGGTGCTCTTAGTTCAAGTGGCACCGAAAACAGAATTTTTTGCGAAAAGAGATTGCGTCACACCATTGTCTCATTGTAACGCTGCGCGCAATTCTTTTCAGCACTTCCCAAATACAAAGCCTTCGCGATGAATGTTTTCGGGGCACCAAGAGGGGGGAAGCGCGTTTCCCTAGCCTCTCCACTTCTTCTCGTTCCGCCTGTTTTTTCTACCACATCTCTTTCAGCTCCTCTATTTCTTGCCCTTTCACCCCTCTCCGCTCCGCTCGCTTTCTCACACCACCTGCTTCTGCTCCTCCCGTTCCGGCATGCTGGGTCCGTAGCTCAGTCAGCAGCGCGCTCGGCTTCGACGCCGGTAAATGGGGCTCGATCCCCTGGAGCAGGTTGCCATTTTATCAAGATCATTTAACGGTTACGGTCTGACCGACCTAGACATTTGAGGCTTACGCGGTTCCCGAGGTCGGTTGGCCCTACAGAGCTACTGCTTCAACAAAGAGTAATAATCCGTGTTCTGCGTTTACTAGATGTCAGCGACTATAGCAGCAGAGGGTGAACTAATTGCACATGCGAGGCAATGGTTCGACAGAATATTTGTCCTGTGCCCAACTTTAGTCAGTGACAGATTAGAAAACATTCGATGTGGCTTGATATGTTCACAATTCTTACTTTCTGATTTGTTCTTCGGTGTTCTTGGAAAATTCAGCAATCGTATTGACTATGGAGCAATAATAAAATGTTAGGGACACGATGCACTCTGCGGTTCTTAAGATATTACTGAGTATATTCAGAATTCGAACTGACGCTAATACCAACTGTGAATTTAAAGCACCGTATCCCGTTTACCAGTCACGTTCCCTGGTAAAGGATTTTGAAAAGAAATAAAATTTTAGAAGCGGAAGAGGGCACGTTTGATTATGACTCCATATGGCTTGAAATGTTTGGGTACACAAACAGGCCTGTTTACACAGTTTCTGGTAGCCAAATTGACATTTTCGATTAATAAAACGATTGAAAGGCCTAACCATTCTTTCTCAATGCCTCGTTCATGCGTCCTATGCCGCCAGCATATTGCTGAACGTAGAATACGATGAAATAAATGTCAGAACATTCCCGTTCGATATTTTCAACGACGTAATAATATTTGGTACTTCTGGTGAGTGTAGAACCTTATTAAGTGGATACCATTATAAAATGCTATTATTTTGTCCCGTTGGGTCTTAAGCACTGCTGGTGACGTTCTTGTTTATTTTTTGTCAACAACATGATCGACTGGTGTACAGTAACCGCAACTTGTATCAAATACTGAATTGACGTGAACAAGCCCCATTTTATAAAAGAACGTACGGGATATAAGATCAGTCAAAAGATTGTGCGTAAAAGACTTGTTTACATTAATACCTATGAATGATATTTAAGAAACGTTACGGATATATTTGTTAAAGTTATTATTTATTGGTGCCAAATATATTCTGCCTATGCGTATTCAAGCGTTTAATGTCCGCAATGTACTAATTAACTGCCACATCAGTATCATTTTGAGGAAACAAGAGCTGCACTACATAACAAGTTTTATTACTGCAACATTAGCGAATGCTAAAATATGTTAGAACCCGTCTAATAAGTTGACTAACCTCCTAAGGAAAAACGCTGTACATTCGCTCTTTTATTATCTGGCTTAATCTAAAATATTTACAGACCCATAAACACAAAGGGGCCGGACATATTTTATTTTATTTTTTCAGTTTATCGGAGGGAACAAAAAAACCGTACAACCTCTTCCTATACGCCCCTTAGCCACACGAGTTTGGGAGCACGAGATCAAAACATAATCGTTTGAAATCTATTTTTATGGCAAGTACAGATCGCGTTATGTATCCTAACGCAGCTCTGCCATATTTACCGAAAGTCGAGTAATTACAATATATAATGGATGACAAGGTGTTCACACACCATCTAACCTTCACCTGACTTTGTGGTTCTAGATTATTTGGGGTTTATATTTAGAGTTTCAAAGGGGACAAGTATAATTTTAATGAGTTCGCATTTGCAGTTACGTTATACTAGCCCATTGGTTTTTATTTACATCTTAAAATATCGCTTAAGACCATTGGACAGAGGGTTCTCTCCCTAAATGTTTATTAGTGTTTACACTTTATAAGGCTAAAGTTAAAATTCAGGCAAACTGGTATACTAGAGACCTGGTATACTAGAGACTTTTTGGAAGTTTGTGAAACTTCATACACGTGAGGCTAGTCGCACTATCTGCCTGCGTGATGGGTCAGATAATGCTCCTTGTTGTCAATCTGTACCCGCTGAGGTTGCAAATATGTTCGCGGATTATTTTAAAAATTGTTTTTCTTTCGGTAACCAATCTTATCAGCTTGGTGACAATTTCCTATATTGTCATGATTTTTTGTCTTCTGTGCGTGTTGATTCAGCTGAAATCGCCGAAGCGATTAAAAAGCTGAAACCGAAGCTTTCCAGTTGCGCGGATGGGATACCAAGTTTTATTATCAAAGGATGCAGTGAACTGTTCCTTCCGATTCGAAAGCATATCTTCAATCTTTCTCTTAGTTCGAGAACATTTCCGTCTCTTTGGAAAAGATCGGTGGTCGTTTCGTTTCTAACAAATGGCGATGCGTCCCTTGTTACAAATTATCGCCAAATTTTCTTGCTTTGTGGCTTTTCGAAAGTTTTCGAGCTTGTCATCCGTAAGAGAATGCCTATTTTATTTCCGACAAAAAATAACTTCATTGCAGCATGGTTTGTTGAGTGGCCGGTCAGTCGAGACTAATTTATGTACATTTTTAGACTTTTCTGCCCTAGTTGTGGCTAACAGAGGACAAGTCGACTCAATATATTTTGATGTCTAAAGCGTTCGACAAAGTGAGCCATAAATTACTCTTGCGTAAACTGTCTTCATATGGAGTGTGTCTTGAATTATGCGAATGGTTTGACAGCTATCTGTCACTGCGCCCAAACTGCGTTCGGATGGGTGACTGTATCTCTGAAAAATTTTTTTCGTCGTCCGGAGTTCCCCAGGGATCAATACTGGGCCCTCTTTTGTTCTTGATCTTCATAAATGATATTGTGTCTTGCGTAAACAGTTCCCAACTACTTCTTTTTGCTGATGACCTTAAGTTGTTCAAAAGCATTAATAGTCTTAAAGATTTCGATGTTCTGCAAGGTGACGTTACCAGCGTTCTTCAGTGGTGTAAAAATAATCAATTGCTGTTAAACCCCCCAAAAAACAAAAATGATTTCTTTTTGCCGTAGGCATTGTGTTTTTGAGTCGACTTATTATCTCGACGGATCGCCAATACAGCGTGTATCAATATTAAAGGACCTTGGTGTGTGTTTTGACAGCGCTTTATCTTTTAGAAATCACGTGTCATTGGTCATGGGCAATGCTTTTAGAGCGTTAGGGGTAATTTCTCGTTTGACGTGTAATTTTAGAAACCCTCATTCATTGGTTAACCTTTTTAACTCTTTAGTGAGGTCACGACTGGAATTTGCTTCTGGCGTATGGAACTCGATTTCTAACACACAGGCTATGAGCATAGAAAATGTTCAGAAAAGACTTATCCGGATCGTTTATGATAGATACTTTGAGCGGCGCTTTTATTATAGGTATGAATATATATTGAAAATGTTATCTCTTTCTCCATTGTCTAAAAGGAGGACTGTTCGTGATTTAATTTTTCTGCACAAGGTTGCGAATGGTGCTGCTGATTCGGCTCAACTCCTTGCAAAAGTGAACTTTCATATTCCATTCCGAGTAACTAGACACTTTGTTTGTATTGATGTTCGCTCGCCGTGTAACACCTCATCTCTCTTACGGATTCAGTCATTATATAATAACTTCGCTCCACCCCACCTTGATATATCTGCATCAATTTCTATGTACCGTCGCGATTTAAATGATATTATTCTAGCCCCTTAGCATTATGTTTGTCTTGGATGTTTTATTTTTTTAGTAAATGTTTAGAGCCTGTGTACTTGCTTGCTCATTTTGCTTGTTGTGTGTGTGCACCAATAAGAAGACCAAGGTTGTTTTTGGGCACCCCAAAATAAAGATTATTATTATTATACTTTTTGAGTAACAACACGAGAATCAACCCTGAACGCAAATACCCCATTTGGGAATCCCCGTTTGTGGCCTTTTACTCAGTTCCAACTTCTCGGTGGTAAAGTGTGTTTGATCCTTTAACAGGAAATATTCATGATACGTCGAATTGATTTCGGTGGCATATTTTTTAGGGTCGAGAGTAGTGGAAGACCCAGCGCTTTTCTCTTTGCACCAGACGGCATCTATCATTTGGAAGAGTGTACATGCAACTTTTAAGCAACTTTCTAACGTACTCAAATTAAGAACGAAAACAATTTGTTTCATACTGGTTGCTGATCAATGCTTGCCAAAACTTTTGAATTTTTTGTTCTTTCAGGGAGTCATATTCGCACCGTGGGCTCCCAAAATTGTTGATGTGGCCATATGCATCGCCCTTGGTTTTCTTAGCGCACTGCTGCCGGAAACATTCGGGAAAGAGCTTCCCGACACCGTCGAAGACATTATTAAGCAGAAGAGGTAAGTAAGTTTTAGACGATATTTTTTAGAGGACATGATAATATTGTGTGATATTTTTTTACTCGACATGTTTTAATTGAAAAGTTGGCATATGCCTAATCATACATCCCTAAATTTTTTAGAATACTTTAACGCAAATTATTGAATGAATGTCTTATGGATGTTTTAACGTTTATTTACTATATGTCCCATTTCAATTGAAAAGTCGACTTGTGTATCGGCTTAAGACTGGGTTCAGTATTAAAGCCCAGTCGTGAGAGGGGCCATTTTATTTGTTTTATGTACAACTATATGGCACAAAAAAAATTGAATGTGGAAAAAAGTGCACCAAGAAGCTCTAAAAATAAATACTGCGGGAAGTCTCAGGATCACAGCCAATCTGTTCCAAGATACATTCAGCGACCGAAATTTATAAAAATACCGCATACCTTAATACACTGGAGCACTATGCACAAATGACGAGACTTGAGGCGGCTTTAAGCCAATGTCAACTGCAACTAAGAAGCGAGCAACGTAGGCGTCACAACAAACTTAATCCACCACTACTTTTGGTGCATGTTCATACTATCCAGATGATTCTGTGTGACGAAAGATTCAATACCCGCGGCGATTTTATGACTCGATAAAATGCAGTTTAGTAAGACAATACTTTGAGACGTATCAAATGTTTTGTTTGCTGTGTGCGCCTGTCGAGTAGGGTTAATGCTAAAAAACAACGTTACGCAATTTGCTGATTAGTAATACTGAAATGTCTGTAAATATTATATTATGCTTCATATGGGGGCTTAGTTCTCACTTGAATTCAAAAGAATATACACGGGGTTTCATCTGAAGCGTTGGGGAATCTATATTTGCTGCCGTGAAACTAATCATTTTATTTCGGACGCTGATATTTTGAGAGTAAATCTGACCGATATTTGTACAATTGGCTAATTTTACCGGCCGCAGCTTAACCTCGCTCCTAATGAAATACGATCATACAAGAATACTTTAATACCTTTTGTTAACCGAGCAAAGAAAGTCGATATTCCAAGGTTTGTTTTGAAAGGTTAAGAATGAGGTTCAACTATCTTGATTTCAGACTCAATTTGCACCCCTATAACCTAGCGAACTCTGCCCTACGCCAAAGTACTAAGGAACATTGAGTATATTACCAGCTGATAACGGCTTCTTTATTTGTTGTTTTTATTCGTTTCAGAGAAAAAGAAACAACGAAAGAGCCATTGCCGAATCCAGATATAGAGGTTATTCGTCTTTGAAGACCCAAGAATAAAATACGCACAGGTAAAAGTTAAAACCGTGTTGTTTGCTTTTGTAATTTATGGATCATCGAAATGCTTTCGCGACATGGAGATTTAGTGCGCCGTTTCATGCGTTTAAAAGAGTGCTGAGTGGTTCAGACTCATATTCGCATTGGTAGCCGATGACCAGTCAAAATTATTTACCGATGCAAACGTTTTTTTTTTGTTTTTTTTTAATTTTATTGTTCCCAACTTTTGATCCCGAAATTTGCATAGGTAAAGGTACCGACGCGGACAAAATACAAGAGCGGAATTACAGTGATTACAGTTGCAAGTCAGTCCTGTATATACTTTACTAAAATTTAGAAATATACTCTCTTTCACTTAAAAATATATTTATATTTTTGTAAGTACAGATGTATAATTGTTGCTGTTTTTGAGAAAACCTTTTTGCTAGCTGGTATATCATCCTGGATTTTAGGGAATTCCATTTGGATAATTTGCACCATGGGACTTAATTTAATTTAATTTAACACCCAAGCTATTAGTTTACCCAAACTGATAGCCCAAGCGTCGCCTTACGTTAATTACGCAAATTTAAGAGATTTTCGGCTATTGCTTAGAATTTCACACTATGCAGCCATATTATTGTGCCGCCAACGCACGTGCAGACTAATTTAACTCGGTAAACGAAAAAAAAAAAATCTGCGAAGGCTACAAATACAAATTAGATGGATTAACCAAAAGCACACATTGTAGAAACTAATAAACTACATATAAAACCCACGTAATTTTAGCATACATTCAAATAAAACATAGAAGTAAGGGTTTAAGGGGGAGGGGGGGGTTGCACAGCCGAAAACGCCTTACGCTGGCAAGAAACTGGATGTTAGCTATGGCGGCTGGGTCACGTGGTGGTGCCCATGCAAGGTTGGTGAAAAGCGTCTTTAGAAACTCTGGAGTTGCGGACAATGCACGCGCCTTTCTTTGTAAGCGTTGCCAGCCCTGTTTCCTGAAAGACCCTCAATGTGTTTCTTTGTTTAAGTTTTTACAAGAGCGCTTAAGGCCGAGGCGCGCTGCTCATCCCAAACATCCTGGAACAAGAACTCACGTGGACTATCAAGAAGCCTTCGTTTTCCAAAACCCGCTACGAAAAAAAAAAAGAATGTTGAAATCAAATGCGGACTGTGAGTCGCACTTCTTTAAATGATCTTTTGATGTTCAGAGCACGACCATGTGCCACTGCGCTTGCGTTTTCGGAATGTTGTTTGTTTGTTAATTATGTTACATAAACATACATATTATTTTCTATGTTTTTGCGTTCTTTTGCTCTCTGCATTTTTTAAAGTGGCGCTTGACAAAGCGAAGAACAAAACATTTATTAAGGGAGCATTTTGGTAACAAGCAAAAGCAAATAAATAAGCGAGACATCCCCAATATTACGCGGTCTCTGTGCTATATAATTATCTCGTGAATATTTGGTCTCTCCCCATCTTCATCAGGCCAGGAGCCCTCCTTTTCTAAATAAATATCTTAATGATCATCATCATTAGCGAATTACCTTTTGACTCAAGCCATATATGCTGTGATATATTTTTACTTTCGTGAACCGAAAACAGCAATATTTAAGCCTTACAGTAGTGCTGCGCTACTTTATGCAGCTTTAATTTCGCTCTTGTTCATCGCACGCTTTATTTAATTATTTTCTGTTCATGGTTGAAGTTATATTTTTTTTCATTCATGCATAAGTTCCTGTCTTTGACGAGGCCAGGCAACGCTAAAACTTACCAGGCGATGAGTCAAACCGAGGCAGTCACATGCAAAATCCTTGAATAACTTTGCCAGTCTTTTCAATTAAATTATTTGTTTGTTCAAATTTGACGGGTAAACGACATTGCGAAGTATATCTATGTTTCGTTTCATATAAAGTCCTGGCGCACCTTACGCTATCTCATGGCACCAATTGAACAGTCTCAAAAACGCAACCGTATAGTGTTCTTTTTCTTTTGTGTTTCCAATCCTTGCTCAACCAAATATGCACCGGGTAGGCCCAGTGACTCCCGCTTTTAGTACATGTGTACTAAAAGCGGGAGTCACTGTGTGCAGTCACTGTGTACATGTGTGTGTTCTTGGTTCTATGTGGTGGTGCCTTCAATTGCGCACAGAGATGTGATGAAACAAAGTGTAGTTGACGTTCGGCACACAAAGTGTTTGTTTATCAAGGAACTTCACCTGCCAGCTTCTCGTTTTTGGAGTAAATATGACACTTTTTAAGCTCACCCTCATTTTACGCTACCGTTCTATTACATCTCTCTACGCGTTTTTCAAGATCCAACATTGATCCAATATTTACCTTTTTATTATTAAAGCGTGTTCAGTCTCGTTTTGAAAAGCACTACGTGACCCATATATGTCCCAATTTCCTAAAATGCCTAATGAAACAACCACATGACATGTGTTATTCACTTTTCACAATCAAGAACGCACAGATCGATTTGATTCTTAGCATGGTTGTTTTTCATGCTTTATAAGAAAGCACATTCATATAATTGGTTGCTTCCCCTCGCGTATGATTATATATTAAAAAAATGATATGTGTGGTGCACTGAAGCCGACAATATTGTGTTTGTGTTTTACGTGTACAATATCTGAACATGCTATGGAGGGTTATCTTGAATCAGTTAAAAGCGCAAACACTACTTCAGGTTTAGTTTTTTTTTGGGTATTTGTGTCTTGCCTGTGGTTTAGGAGATTGGTCTTATGGGTTTATATACTTTCTTTCAGTAGCATAAAACTGTGCTTTTAACTTCAGTTTTTATTGTTTTTAATATACATATCGGTATATTTTGCTAAACTCTTTTTAGTCGTTTTCTAGTTGACTAAGACGAAAGAGCATATCGCAGTTGGATGTTGAAATGATTATCAGATGAATAAACCAGACATTCCACGTGCACAAAATGTATATCTTGTTTTACTTACCTGCGGATACTCTTCTTTGAGTCATCTTCATTCTTCTATTTACTCTGCTATATATTTTAAATAATCCTGTTCCGACGCAGCTTACTTCATCAACGCTGCGGATTTGGTTGAATAATAGTGTGGGTTGTTTCTTAGAAGCCGGGCGCAGTGCGAGAGTCGTGAGCTCCCCGGTAAAAAGACGACAACCTCGTGAGAGAGAACAGGCCAAGAGCTTTAAAAATTAAAGTCAAACCGACCACAACTATCTTCAATGCGACAACATTCATGCCTCGACCACGTGTGAAGGCTTTGATAATCCCCGAACTTCAAGAATATGAGCGGTAACTTGTCAGCTAAAAGTGTATATTTCTTCTTCCTAAGTTAAGGATTCAAAAGGGGATGTAAGGAGAGTTGTGGGCCTCCGCTACAGAGAAAGTCCTTACCTTTTTTTTGGGAAGGGGTACTCTTAGATTGTTAAAACAAACGGAGATTTGAGATTTTTTCAAGATCGTGATTTATAGGGTCCCGCCATAAAATGTATACGTAGCCTTATTTCACAAAACCTTTAACAGACGAGCTGCAATCGCTCTTTTTTTCAGCACATCCATCATTAGACCTGCGCAGGATTTCCCATATAGAAAAAAGGGAGCTTTCCCTTATCATGTAGCAAATAAAGCCGGTGCAATCTTGTTACGTGCAGCCGAACGGATGAAAGTGTGATCTCACGTAAGTCACAAAATTATATTTGCTTTAAATATTGCGAGGCACATCTCTCTAAACACATATACACGCCAATGTCAAGTTTTTACTCCGTAATCAGTTATAAATGCACTTAACCGAGTAATATGTTTTTTTTTATTTATTACCAAAATACCTTCTGAACTTTGAATTCAGCTGGTTGTTGTCTCCGTTACAAGGATATTGTTTGATTAT